TATGGGAATTTTAGTTCCCAAAATGTCACTTGTCATTGCCACTCAAGGTGGCAAAACTTGGCAATGATTTTAGAAAATATCCATGTCTGTAGATTATATTTTGGGATGACCTTCCTGTGTGGCAGCTGAGTCACAGAAACCAGCTCATGAAGGGTAATATGGTGACATATATTATCCTACATTCTGAATGTTGCAGAGGTGTAATAGGGGGACGAAGTTATCCCCCCTCAGTGTCCCCTTTGGAGGTATAACAGAGGCGTTACAGGGGCTAGACGAGATCATCAGAGCCAGCGGGGGAGCACAGCGCTTCGTGTGTGTGTGTGTGTGTGTGTGTGTGCATGTCTGACTGTGTGTGTATGTGGTGCCGTGCTCTCTCAGCTTCGGAAATGCTGTAAGGGAAAGGGAATTCACAGACTGGGACACCAATTTCACACCATTGTGGAATAAATATGAACATCTTAAGGTGTAATGACCGCAGAGCTGCGTCTGAAAAGGGAATGTGATTGCTGTAGTTACAATGGATGTTGAAAACAGCAAGAGAGTTTAGGATAAAATTAACTTTTGTTTTTAACAGCTGTTGTTAAACTCAGAGACATTCTGCTCAATGTCACCACCTAGCAGGGTAACACCTTAAACCGTAACACCGGCAGAGCATTAAAAGTCTATCTTGTTCATTCAGTCACAAGTTTGTTAACTTCTGAGGTTTTTCATACACTAATGTATTATTACAGCTGATGCAGAGTGTTTGATGTGCTACGCTGAACTGGGAGACTGTTGGAAAGTAAAAAACACATCGGCCCTGAGACGTGACTTGGACCAGCTTTCAGTTTGAAAGTTTTGAAACTTTCCTCAGTGGGAGTGATTTGGCTGAGGAGCTGCGATGCACAGCCATGTTGGATGGCAGAGTTGAGATGAAGAACTAATGAGTTGGAAGTAATCCATCCCTCTCCGTGGATTTGTCCACGTTGCCCCGCAGGGCCGTGAATCAGACGTGTTGATGTCATCTGTACCATGTTATCTCTGTGTTTGCAGAAATGAAACACAGTCATTAGAGAGACTGTCAGCACAGATTAGACTCCGGGGATCCGATTGGGACATGTCTCTTCCTCTGCTAAGACGAGACGTACAATCAGTGCTGAGTAGAAAATGCTGTTCGCTGTCTCTCACATCCTGCGTCTGTCTCAGGTTACCTGTCTGAGCCCCTGTGGAAACAGGCGATCTGACAGTGCACACTTGTTTTATTATGTTAGCATCATCTCTTTGATATCGTTCAGGATTTATGAGAGTATGTTTCTTTTGATTTCAGAAGAAGCCAGAATCCAGATAACACAAACAATTACATTAAGTTTTATTGTCTTTTCAACTTTTTGGCTCTGAGCTATAGAAACACGTAGATATGTACCCACTATAATCTGTGGATTGTGTGAAATAATGTATGAAGTAAACCACAAAATATAGAAAATAGAAACATTAATGAAGTGCATCAAGGGCAACTAAAGGACGAACACGAGATTGTTAAATAAACCCCTGCTGAATATTTTGGATACTTCCTCGTTTTTAATCCCATCCCTATTTTTCTTGCATTCAGAGAACCCCCCAACCCCACCCCCCAATGTAAGTAGGATGAGGAAAATATGTAGGATTACTAGTCTACAGATGCACAGGAGCTTGAAATACGGGGCTCCGGTGGCCTGATGGTTAGTTTGTGTGCTCCATGTTCAGAAGATGTACAGTAGATCTTTAAGCGGCGGCCACAAGCTCAAATCAGACCTGTGGCTTCTTTCACTGCATGTCATTCCCCCTCTCTCTCTCTGGATTACCACTGTCTACTATCCACTATCCTGTCTCTAATCAAATATAAAAGGCCCCAAGATACATCTACAAAACAAAAGAAATCCACATATTGAATAATAAGTATTTTTTTTATTATTATTTTTGCATTGAGGAATGTAAATATATATAAAATATTAATCTTAATTGGGGCAGATGGCCTAGTGGTTATGTCGCACCTCATGTACGGAGGCTATAGTCAAACACATTCCTGTATAACCTGTGGCGCCTTTCCCACATTTCATTATCCACTCTCTCTCCCTGGTTTCCTTCTCTGTCCACTGTCCTCTCAAATCATGGCAAAAAGCCCCCAAAATACATCTTTAAAAGTAAAAGAAGGTTTTCTTCATCGAGTTAATAAACTGAAACCCTTCCTGAACACATCCACCATGTGATTCAGTGAATTTTGGGATTAAGTCAGAAAACAATCCAAGTTCTTCCTCAGGAACTGTGCAGGACGTTCTTGATGAAACATGTCGTCGTCGTAGTAACAGACCTTTGATGTTCAGCTGCTGGATTTAGTCGGATCTTGTGTTGTGTGTTTAACTTCTCCTGGACGACAAACTGATTCTCCTCCGTACACACTGGTGGAGCTCGAGTGAAGCACAGTGTGTGTCGATCATCATCATGTATTTAAAATGTAATTTTACACTTAAACACATCGTCAATAAAGGGACCCTGCCCCTGAGTTCTGACAGAACCAGTAACATGTAATGCTGTGTGTTCATGTCAGGACGTGCTCGCAGCGTCTGTCTTCACTCTGATATGATACTTTAATGACTCTGGATTAATAACTGGTCATAAAAAGACATTTGACATGAAAGAATCCCACTTACCCAGACTGAACATATTTATGATGCTTCAAGCTGACAGGTGTTTCCATCTGCCCGTTTTAGCTGTCGTCTCTCAGAGTGAGAGAGACGAAGATGTCGGGACTTTTTCAGAGGCAACATGGAGTGGAAAAGTGAGAGCACATACAACCCAGAGAGAGGGGAGTTTTATTTGACATTCAATCAATTTTTAAATACACACATTTATGTTTAAATCCACTGAGTCTCACCTTAAATGTCAGTACTTTTGTTCATTACAGTTTGTAAACACAACATTCAAACTCTGGCCCTTCCCCTGATCGCCCCAAGAAACACATTTACTGCTTATACCTTTACTCGATGCATGCTAGCACAAGCTGACTGCTGGTGTTTGGAACCTGCCTGTCCAACTAGAAGCTATACAATTCTGCGTCCCCGGGTAAAAGCCAACACAAGGTTCATCCTCTTCTCAGAACGAGCTGTGTTTCGCCTCACTATTATTATATTTTTTCTTCTTTGCTGCTATATGTATGTATGTCTAATTGGCCTAATTGAATTGTGTCCAATCAATGAATTGTATCCACTCCTTAACTCACCTGTGCGCTGTCATTGGCTGGGGGAGACTCACCAGCCCCCGCCCAGAAACGTGATAATTTAGTGGCCTTACTTTTGTACAAGTCTATGTTTTATGTTTGAGGAAAAGGCTTCTGTGTCTCTCTTTAAAGTATTTTTGTTCCCAGCTCAACACCAGCTCTTCAGGCACACCTTACCAGAAGTCTTAGTTATCTGAAATTCAAACAGGGGATCAGACTGGATTTAGATTGGTTCTCCACATCAACAGAAACACAAGTACAGGTACTGACATGGGTATAACAAAGTTAGCTTTTTGGAACTTTGGTATCTCTACCAATGAGTTTCCCCCCTAGTGGTTAAATAAAGTATTTCTGATGCTGATAAACAAAAAAGTAAAAGTCCCACCTGAAAGTTAAGGATTTGAATCATCAGTTGAGATGCTTGAACTCTTAGTTTAAAGAACCATTATTGTGTGACTTAAAAGTAACATTATGGGGGAATTCTGTTTGGCTTTGTCTCCCACTTGAGATCTCTTAGTGTAACTGCAAATATAAAACACACATAGTGCTGTTCCGCTTCCCCCTCGTAGACCACATGCTTTTGTTGTCAAGCCGAGGCTGGCTAAGCAGGTGTTCTATCAAATAATGCAACCCATCAAGATGTGCTACCATACGGCTTTGTGCTGTACAGGGAGCATTATTTGATCTTGGACACGTATAGCTTCTGCTATCGTTTAGCGTCATGGTAGCATTTTGGACAACGTAGCACATCTCTACAGAACACCTGCAGACATTATGAGAAGCCAAACAACCAGGTCAGCTGACAAGGTGCACTATTTCCTCTTGTCTGACTTCTTGCTCGGCCACTCTCTCTTTTCTCGTCTTAGCTTCATCCATCATCCTCCTCTTCCTCTTAGCCTCACTCAATGTATCAAACAGTACAGAGACGGGCTAACTGGCTGCGTTGTAGCATAAGGCTGCTGTGTCAACTAGTGCCCAAAGTTACATACTGCTGTAAATGTGACTGCAGCGCTCTGTGGACGTGAGAGAGACGCCATTCTCCCTGTTGAAAGTTATTGTGCTATGATACTGACCTTTGAACCAACTACTCTAAGGTGGAACATTTACCAAGATCATCCATAACATCCAAATATTCATATTAAATAGAAAAATCTGATCCAACAAATTAGGGTGCTGTTACTCTCTCCAAGTCTCTCAGAAACATCAAACTGGCATTGACTCTCAAACTCAGAGAATAAAAAAGCTTCTACTTTTGACAGGCGGGATGATTTCACAGCTCAGCTTTGAGCCCCTGGACCTTTTTATCCTGAAGGTTACAGACAGTTATTCACAGGAGAATGAAGAAAACAGGGAGATAACTGGATCTCTGTAGACGACTGTGAGATGTCTTATTGCATTCCAGAGATCAGAGATATGACACCTCGATGCCTGTCTGTTGATGTGTTTTAATGATAAGAAATCCTGATATATTTGAGGCTTAGCTGCTCTCCTCTCCCTGTGGTCAGACAGAAACTACAGCAGTGTGTGTGTGCTCGTTCAAGGTTTTTTATTTCTCTCTCATGGTGTGTGAACTTGCAGCAGTACAGCCGGCACTCTGATCAAATCTGACCCCACTTTTTTTTGGCTCTCTTTGCAGGATTATTTCTGTGCAGCTCACATGACTCCACGAGGGCCGAACGTGGGTTTTTAACAACCTGGACAGTTGGGATGTCAGACCAGTCCTCCCTGTTTTCCTGTTTTCACTCTGTGTTTCCTGTTCTCTTCCCAGCTGCTGAGAGGATGAAGGGCAGGAACCCGGGCGGTGTGTGGAGTTTGTAGAAGAAACAGAAACACGGGGCGACTCCTCTCCAGCTCGTCTGTCCGCAGCAGAGCTCACCATGAGTTAGAAACGTCAGAGACCCCGTCACCGCCGCTGCCTTCCTCCCCCCCCCCCTTGCTGTCCTGAGCTCCGTGTTTGACTGACAGCAGCATCACTCGCCCCACTTCATGATCCAGCAGGATGCCGCTGAGGTCCTCGCACTCTCCGAGCGCCTCCTCATAGCCTCGCACAAGGGACAGGCAGACAATGTGGTCCAGCTCATCAACAAGGGAGCAAAAGTAGCCGTCACCAAGGTGAGTGAGTGAGTCGCCCCGAGAGTGGTAAAGACAGAGGAAGCCTGTCGACACATTTATCTTCATTTTATTTCTTGGTCTAAAAACACATGAGACAAAGAAAGGCAGTGCAGGTTGGTTGGTCATGTCTTCAGTTTCAGTTTCAGTGTCTTCAGCAGTCCTGAACGCATAAAGCAGGTTACACGCTGAAACATAAACTAGCTGACTTTGGGCCTGATTCCTCTCTTTTGAAAAAAACAAAGCGATGTCCTGATTCTTTTGATGATGTTTAAAGATTATCTCCCCAGATTTCCCTGTGGTAGGAGGTGTCTTAAGATTTATCAAACCACTCTCAGAAGAACATCTTGAGTGCACTGATTTCTTAATGTATTTATTAATGATGTTTAAGGTCCGATGATCCCGTTATGTGGGGGGTCTTTATATTGTGTTTTATTTTTAAATTGACCAAATGCTCTATGCGTTCCCTTGTCTGACTTCCTGTCTGGGTCAATTTGCTCTGTTCAGCTTGACGCCTATCGCAACAGGTTCTGTTGAAAAATGGACTCTGTACGTATTTGTAGCCCAGTGGCCCCGCTGGCTGGCACTGGAGACGGACCACAGCGTGTGCCGTGGAAACATGAGCTCCAGAGTGTGCGGCATGAATTGAATAAAAATGAAGATTAAATTTGCAACACACAGGAGTTGCTAGTCTACCACTGGCTCCATCAGTTGATCAGCATCTCCAACATTGATCCTAGTTTGAGCACGTTTCTGCTCGTGGAGCTTATTAGAAACATGCAGAGGCTTTTCAGGTCGGGTATAATCACTTCTATCTGAACCACTTCTCTTGCCCGCTTCCATCGCTGCAACACCTGCTGGTTTGCAGTTTGCCTGGCAAACCAAGGGGCGTCCAAAATGACTGTGTGGGGGTGCCGTCTACAGCACTTCAACATAACATGTTTCTTTAATTTCTGATGATATAGTAAGGTCATTTTGTTGTTTCATTCAGATATCTTACAGATTGGACCTTTAATTAGATTCAGAAAATATAAAAAGTGGAGCTTTGTTTAATATTACAGCAGAATCGGGGCGCTGGTGGCGCAGTGGTTGGTGCGCGCTGTGGTCCTCCAAACGGGCGGCCCAGGTTCGATTCCCACCTGTGGCTCCTTTTCCCACATGTCATTCCCCACTATCTCTCTCCCTGATTTCTGACTCTATCCACTGTCCTATCTCTCCATTAAAGGCACAAGAAAGCCCCCCCCCAAAAAAATAAAATTAAAATTACAGCAGAATTTTGAGTCAGGTTAACACTTTCTGTAGTTCAGTAGACATCAGATGTGTTTTTGAGTCATTCTGACGTAAATCGGTTCTCCTGCTCTGTGAGCTCATCTGTGTGTAATTAAATCAATTAGACACAAAACGGAGCATGAACGTGTGAGCAGCACTGGAGCCGCTAACGTATGAACACAACCTCATCATGTTTCAACACTCTGCTCATGAGAATGCATTCAGCTGCTCTACATTCAGCCGAGAGGATCGTGTACTGCAATGTTTTCACTCATTTGAAGTGTTTGAGGAGTCAGTGGAGCTGCTCCAGGCTGCCTCAGTGCTGCTGTGTGTTTAACACTAAAATATGCTTTAATTACTCTTCAGTGTGATCACACAGGCTGGATTAACTTAAAGGGGACATATTGTCAAAAATCCACTTTTAGTGTTTTTGAACATATATTTAGGTAACCTGAGGGTCTACTGACCCACAAAATGTGAAATAAACCCATCCAGTCCTTTGAAGTCTTACAACACAGAGAAAAGTGCTCCATTTCAAATTTGCTCTCTTTGTGATGTCACAGTGGGATTCTGGTAAAAAAAAATCCCCTCCCCTCCCCTGGTATCTCCATCCATGGACTCCACCCCCAGCCTAGAACAAGTCCGCCCATTTTCATTCTCGCTAGAGAAGGAGTGATATAAGACAAATTCTGAATTCAATTTTTTTTACGATAATACGCTTTTGGGCTACTTGTCATTTGAAATGTTATCATTTGTACAAAGGTGAAACAAAGCAAATATTTTTGATATTTAGAATTTAAAATCTTGTCTGGTGGAAGCCATGTGTGAATAACTGCGAGAGACGAGGGAGGACAGTAATAGGTGGACAGTAGTGGTGACCCGCTCAGGTGTGCAGGTCAACTGTAACGCATCTGACAGTTACAATCTTACCTCCAGCTCTCACTGAACAATATACAACACATGTTGTCCGTGTCTCTTTTAATGTTTTTGTTGTCTCTCTACACAAAGCGAAAATAAACTCTGTTGTTTACGTGAGGTCATGTGAGGTGGTACATTCCTCCGCTGGGTAAAATCCTGTAGTCTGTGATGTGCCAAGGTTTTCATATCTTGTAGTGTGCATGCACGCAAAATATCTGTTAAGATTCCCCTTATGTGTGATGCTGCCTTATTTGAAAATAGGAAATGCTTTTAAACCTTCTGTAGTGTGAACCAGGCCTTAGAGGTAAGAAACGTTTTTGAATTATTCTTGTAGATTTTTCAGCCTGTGGCAGTGAAACAGGCTGCAATTGCTGCAACGTCAGTCCTACATGAGTGTGCATTCGATTACAGCTCGTCCACTCATGTTGTAATTTTTGTCCCTGACAGGCTCAGATTGTTACTATAAGTGTCTGACAACATTTCAGAAAGTATCCCTGCAGAGAGAGACCCCTTTGTTACAGAGGAAGATCATTTGTAGCCCGCAAACTAGTGTATCATCTCTCTCTTCAAAGCTGCGCGAGGCCATTAACAAAAACAGAAACTTGCAAAACACAGGAGTTACTCATCTACAGCTCGATAAGTTTCATTATGTTATTTGTAATATTCCTGAAATTGTGTGTTGAATAAATCTATTTATTAAATAAGACGCCAGACTCTTTTGACAAAATCACAAATTGTACCTTCCTGGAGTGAGCTGCAAGGTGCAGTGGTTAGCACTCTGGCCTCAGGTTAAGGTTCCTGGTTCATGGTCTTTGAGTGTGGAGTTTGTAAGTTCTCACTGTGCATGTGTTGGTTCTCTACGGGTACTCCAGCTTCCTCCCACAGTCTAAAGACATGCTTGTCCAGCATGTGAATATTGTGTAAGATTCTCAACCATCAACTTAGCACACAACACAATGATGTGAAACAATCTGAGTCGGTTTCAAGGCAAGAATAAGAAATTTAGTGGAGATACTTTGATTGGTGTGTTTACCTGCAGGGCTAAAAGGAGCAATATGTAACTTCAGTGTTTAACCAGCCCTGCGTCAGTCTTTCCTTTCTGCGTTCTTACCTCTCTCCAGTTCTGTCTGAACCAGTTCACTTGCCTGCCTCCATCTCTGAAACACCTGTATGGTGGTCGTTTGCCGGTCCAACCAGGGTGCGTAGATATCTTACATTCAGTATTGGTCCTTAAAGTTGCAGTCGTTACTGCCTGTTTCATGGTTACTGGCAAAGTAATCTACTTGAGCAAATACATAACTTTTTGTACCAATTTGTTCCTCTAGATGTTAAATATGTGATTTTGAAAATACAGAACACACGTTGAATTTCCTAATTATATATTTCCTAAATTTCTTGAGTCTGTACTGCAGTGACTTTGGTTTTCATCCCCTCTATCTGTAGCTCTCTCCTCCCTTTCCTGTCCATCTCTCTCTCTTTAGCATGAAGGTTAAAAGGGAAAAAAACAAACAATAACAAAGTCACAGCTGAGCTGCCGAGTGAACAGATGGATCATTGTACAACACACACACAAACACAAACACACTCACACACACTCCCCTGAGGTCTTTCTTCATTCTTTCATCCCCGCTCTCACATCTTCTGAAACACACCGAGGTTCAAAGGTCACAGGAGCAGTGCACAGGATGTGATGTAACACTCCTGTGTGACGGTTCGGTTCAGTGCTCATCCAGAACAAAGACGGCGATGTGCAGAGGTATTTATAGGTAGAGCAACACTTCACTATATGAGTCAGTCTGTCAGAGTCAGTGTATCAGACTGAATCCCTGACAAAGAAGTCACTCTTTGTCAAATCATTTGTAAAGAGAAAAAGGGACAAACATGAAGATCATTCTTGACTTTGAGGACAGTAGCCTGACTCAAACAGTTTAATGAAAGGGACACGACTACCTGTTCATTTTTATCTCCCTCCACATGAAATGAGCATCGCTTCATATCTAAAATACAAAGTGGATGCATACAGGTAACTAGCGTGGCTAATTTGTAACCCCTGTCCCTGGCTAAACCTTTAGGATTAAAACAGAACTATTAGACTTAAATAAATACAGAGATAAGATAAAATAGTACTTTATTGATCCCCAGTGGGGAAATTCAAGTGTTGCATATGAGTACAAATAAAAAAATAATATATAGGACTCCAAATTAAAAATAAAGATAAAAATACAATGTATTTACAATCATTATAATCAAGAATTAAGTAAACTATACACCAAATAAGATCTTAACTACACACTACAAACTATACAGGACATTGAGACATATTAAGTGGCAAGTTGATTTTAAAGTGACCAGTTATAAGATAAAGTGAGAGAGATGAAATAAGAGGGCAAAACAAGCAATAATATCAGAAATAAACATCTAGAAATAATATGAAATGAATGACAGAGTCGAGGGTTTGTCAGTGTGACAGCTGCTGTGGGTTAGGGGGATGAAGACTGACTGTAGGACACTCTGCTGTTGTACAGTCTGATGGCTCATCATGTAGAGAGGAGTGAGAGGAGTTTTCCAGGATGGCTGTGAATTAGTCCTCATCCTCCTCTCAGCCACGGTCTCCGAGCTGTCCAGTTCCAGGCCAACAACAGAGCGTACCTTCCTCACCAGCTTGTTCAGCCTGCTGACCAGTTTTAATGCCGGCCCACCAGCACACCACAGCAAAGAAGAGGGCACTGGCCACCACAGACCAGTAGAAGGTCTTCAGGAGTCTGTTGCAGACACTGAACGATCTGAGTCTCCTCAGGAGAACATCCTGCTCTGACCCTTCCTGAAGAGACAGTGATATTATACCAACACAGACATCATAACTCAATACTAATAAGAGACTAAATAAGGACAAAGGATTATAAGAGGAAACAGAAATGAAAAGAGAAACACACAAAGCCATGCTGAGCTCTGTTTGTGGTGTTTCTGTATCATGTGCTTTCTGTTTTCTGTTCTGGCTCTGCGAACAGATCTTTCATGACCACATGGCATCCTATTGTCACAGCTAGAACAACATGGTGTGTGTGTGTGTGTGTGTGTGTGTGTGTGTGTGCTGCTCGCTCTGATGGTTCAGTGTGGACCGGCTGTATTTTGCCGTTTTGGCAGGAAGCCTGTATAAAGCCTTAATCTGGGATAAAAAAGGGGGCGGAGCCTCATATGAAACATTCTTCTGTTCACAAATAGGAATGTGGGAATATTTCTTTATAGGCTGAAATGATGAATGAACTGAGACTGAGAGTATAAACAGACGTGAAGAAAAGGGAGGATTAAGGAGGAGCTGAGATGGAGAGGGTAATTAAAAGAAACATACAGAAGAAGACAGGATGGAGGTTAAGAGTTCACGGCTGGGTTCTGAGACTGGAGAGGTTAGAAGTAGGAGTGTAAATCTCTCCTTTACAAGACGGTGCTATTCGATGCTCTGGAGCTACAATGATTAATTTAAATACAGAACGATTCATTGTGATTCCACTCGGTATGAGTCCAAATTGATCATTGTATCAAAGGAGAAAAAGAAATAGCCAGTGTGTCGTTTCAGAACAACATGTCCTTCAGTTTATTACTTTGCAAGAGAATTGGCCGACTGTCTAAACAAATATTCTGTTGATGATGTGAAGAGTCTTTATCACACACACCTGTCCAGGTTTCTCACTGAGAGCTCGGCGGGGGAAGAAATCACTTTTGTTAATATTTCCGTACCCTCATGTATCGACCTGCACTGGTCACACAAGGTTCCTTCCTGAGCAGCCCGTTAAAGTTTCCAGCCTGTACCCACTGTTTGTTTTTGTTGTTTTAATATGACTTTGTATGTCCACATTTCCAACGTGGGCACCTGAAAACACACTGCAGTGAGTGCAAAAAGCAGCGTACTCACTGCCTGGTACTTTTTGAAGGAGGCTGTAACTTTCCTACAGGTCTTTGGAAAACGCCGACTTTCTTTTCAGTACGACAGCTAGCTTACCTGTTGTTACTCAGCAGGTCCTGTTAGCATCACAAGCTAGGCTAACTAAGCAGTAGCCGCAACACTGAGATTGATTGACACATGTAGAGACAAATCAGTGTTGAACTTTGACCCACAGTGCATTAGAGATGTTTCTCTACTGGTTACAACAGTAACAGTTGGCAACAACATTGATTGACATCTATAGAGACAAGTGTGTTGTTTGAGTAAGTGTAAACTGGGACATGGACTGTTCAAAACCTGGACATATTAATGTTTGGTAGGTATTTGTGGGTACTCGGGACACAGAGCTTGAAAAGGAAACAGTCCCGGTCAAATTGGGACGTATCGACACCCTAGATGGCTGTCCTCTTCGGACCTCTGTAGTCAGGGGTTGAAAGAGTCTCTCTGCTGGTCTCAGACCGGCTGTTCACCTGAACTCGCCTCGTGGCTCCTCTCCAGGTCAGGCCCACTGAAACTCAATCTGAGGTGCACATAAATGGAGGCAGAGCCGCACCCAAACAAAGCACGAACCTCCTCAGACAATATGATACCTGAGGTGTAATGGGGCTTGTGCTTCTGTGTTACACACTGTACTGTATCTGGTATTACACTGAGTCCACTCGGATTAACAGAAATCATCTGGACTGATTTGAAGTTTGAATATTTCCCCTCATACGACAATGTGCCTTGTCGTGAAGTGAATCCTCTCAGAGAAAAGTATTTTAACTTCATCTGAAAGGGAGGATTTCCTGCTGATTTTTTTTACATGTTACCCTCTGTGCTGATGAACAAAGCTTCATCTTTTCTTTTTTTTTTTGAAGATTTGTTTTTGGGCTTTTTGTGCCCCTAACAGAGAGATAGGACAGTGGATAGAGTCTGAAACCAGGGAGAGAGAGAGTAGGGAATGACATGCGGGAAAGGAGCCACAGGTGGGCCCCGAACCCGGGCCGCCCGCCTGGAGGACCGGAGTCCCCATAGATGGGGCGCGTGCACCAACCACTGCGCCATCAGCGCCCCGGCTTCATGTTTTATAGAAAAAAGGTTGAAGCGAGTGCTGCACTGTCTAAGAAAATGAAGAGGAATCCGGCTTCAAGGATTAGGGACAAAGGTCAAATAGCTAATAAATAAATCAATCACTGTCACTGTTTATAGTGTGATTTATTTATTTAGCTAATAAAAAGATCACACTATAAATCACATTATTAGTCATTAAAAGTCACAAATAACACATTTTAACAGCTAATGTTTTGTCAAGATCACCCACTTACATGTCAGGGAGAACATCTCCAGCCATATGTTTCCACCTCCAAGTCATTAAACACCCTCTTAAAAACATCCAATGACAGCAGCTCGTTAAAGTCAGGGTTGGTTATTTTCTCCAGATAAACTTTTTAAGATTTGTGTTGAAATTGTCTTTATGTCCTGACAGAAATTAATAATTCATGTTCTCTGAAAAAAGAACGAAGACAATCTGTCATCTGTAGCAGTTGAGCTTGTAAAAACTTTGACCAATGTCTGCCACGAGGTACCAATCTGATGAACCAATCACACACCTCCCTGTCTCCCTGCTCCTTCTCTACTATCTCACAGTTTATACTGTGAGTCTGTCGTTGGCTGTTGTGAGTAGTAAAATAGTCTGTTTTTTGTATGTATTATGATAAAGTTTAGTGTTTACTTACCGCTGAATGAGACATGAAATGACATAGTTTCTAAACAATGCAAGTGATGAGCTGAGGTCCACTTCTGGAGGAACGGCACTCGTGCATGTAAGTGAGGGGCGTGGCTTTTGAGGGAGGGGGTGGGTGTAGAAGGAGCACTGAGGGAATGCTACTTTCAAAATCATGCTAGTTTTTGAAAGTGAGCAACCCTGCCTTTAAGTTTTAGTTTTTTGTTTTTTACTCATTCCAAATAAAGGGAGCAGCAAATTTAAACATCTTTTTCCCCAGTTCAGTTCTGACCTTAGGAATTGACGGTGAGAAAATGTCCTCATAAATGTAAGAGCATCTTGTTTTTCTTTAACGCACAAATCCCAGAACAAGGAAACACTTAATATGTAGAAGAAAAACGTGCTTCTCGTCATGATGTTGAATTTAAGTTTATTTCTGTGTTTCAACACTTACATAACGATTGACTCGATTTAATCAGGATTAAGTTAGAACTATCCAACGATGAAAACTTACAACATCTGTACGAGCAGATACAACCCAGTGTTGGATTTTTCTGCTCCGTCCTTTTAAACCCCCTCAAGGTTAAGTAACCGCTCGGCTCTCAGGTCCTTATATTGGCAGGATGCAGAGTTTATCCTCTGCTCAGCTCACATGAACAGCTGTGCACTCGTCTCTTAAACTCAGCTGGATTAAGGACTTGTTTGTTTTCCTGTCGACTCATTACTGAGACGGATGGTTCTCTGCAGCAGATTGTCTCAGTCATGCCATCAGTGATGAGCTCTGTTACCTACTCTGCAGAGATCTCCGACTCAGCGGCCTGTAGTTCTGTGTGCAACACAGCAGGGGTGGGTTTCTGTTTCTACACTCGGTGTTGTCTGTTCACTGTTTCATTTTCATTGTCTACTGATTGTGCTGTGCATTAGTGATGTTTTTGTTGTTTTATGTCTGAGGGAAGTGTTGTCGCTGTCTGTGTCAGAGTCTCCACTTTTAGTTGTGTTGGATCGCTGCAGAGAAACGCTGTAAGGGGACGTTTTTAAGTCTCATGCCTGGACTTCAAAGGGACGTCTTAAGAACGGCTGCAGGGGAAATCTTAAAAATTAACAAAAACATCCACTTGGACTCGGGGAAGAACTGATTTGAATTCATTGGTGAAAGTCAAATATCACTTTGAGCTCACGTATGCCTCTTTGTCCTGAACGGGATATCTCCGGTATATCTGGAGGGATCTGCTTTTAATCCGTTGGAGACACCATCTTGGTTCAGCGTTAAGTGGTCTACACCTTTTGCCCCTGTTAGATCTGCTGTGGTGAGAAGACTTGACTGATAATCACCCGTCCTGCAGAGAAACAGAGAGATATGTTTTGTGTTATTATGTTCTTCCTGTTAATGATTGTGGTGGAACCTTTCCTGTATAATTATTATAGGGTGTTTAGGGGTATTCATTATTTTAAATACAAACAAAATCCACATCCCAGACAGACTTTCTTTCTTGGTAATCATGGCAGGATGGAAACTACAGTTTAAAAAGTCTGTCAGTTCGTCTTTAGTTGCACTTGACATATTGTCCTTTTGCCACTAGAATGACTGAGGGACAGGACTGAGGGGGCCGTTTCACTTCCTCTACATGGTGGAAGGGCTTACGGTTAGAGAGAGAGAGAGAGGGGTTCATGAAAATATGTATGAAACATTTGCCTCTGAGTGTAACATGAACAAACTAAAGAAGGCAACGTACTGTCCTTGTGAACACAGAGCTCAGAACAACAAACCCAGAGGGGGTTTGACTTCACTTTACTTTTAGGAAGTCATTGCTCCCAAAATCTATTTTGCTTGATTTATATTCAGAATGTTGCGTATTAAGCTTTTACACTGGACTTGTAGTTTGCACATTCTTGAACGCACCTTACTGCGTTGTTGACTGAGTTTTGTCTTGTGTCCACAGTATGGCAGAGGCCCCCTACACTTGGCCGCCTACAAAGGCCACACTGAGGTTGTGCGCCTCCTGCTCAAAGCCGGCTGTGACCTGGACATCCAAGACGACGTGAGTACATCCACCCGACTGTCAGCTGCTGTTTCCCGTGTTTTATCCACTTCTAGCTCAAACTTCAGTCCTCATTGGTGATTTCCACTGTAGAGCTCCTATTTTTGCTTTTTTTTAGATCCACATTACTTTTTCTATTCTAACACAAAGATAACGGTGGTCTAATGACCTCCAGTGGCCTTGAATGGGACTCTTTGGACTGCCCCCTTGTGGGTTTGCCCTCAGGATGCAAGCCCCCCACAGACAGTGATAACCAAGATCTCGGTCGTTGCCAAATTCCCTCTCTGTGGTCAATGAGCTCCGCAGATCGCTGCAGTACATCCTCCAGGACTGCAGGGGGCAGGAGGTGCAGACTGAAGCAGGAGGAGGAGGAAGAGGGGATAAAGAAGAGGGCTGGGGAAGAGCCTGGAGGATCAGGGAGAGTGAAGGAGGTTAGCCAAACCTGATCCTACTGACCCCCAAACCTTCCCAAACTCCCACTGCTGCTGTGCTGGGTTCAGTTCTTATCTTCCCCTCTCCTCCTCCTCCTCCTCCTTCTGCTCCTGCTCCTTCTCCATCACTGCTTCTTCCTCCTGGGCTCTCATGTCACCCCTCACCTGCTGTCACTCATCACTAATCTGCTCGGTGTTCAGGGTTTCCTTCATGGCTGAGCATTCATGTGAGCGGGAGCTTTTCCTGGGACTGTTCACTCACTGCTTTCATTTTCTCAAACACACCACTGTTCACCTTTAACAGCAAACACAGCTGTGTGAGGACCTGCTGTGGTTTAACTGTGTGGGGACATATAAACATTATTACTGATAGACTCAGTGAAAACCCTGCACGACCGAGGGATACATGATGTTTGTTTAAAGTGTAAGTCTGTTATTTTTAAACCTGGACCCTGATTTATTTTTTATTTTTTTTACATATATGGGGGTACAAATTGGGCACTTAAGCTCTGTTTAGAGAGTTTGTTTACACGATAACAGCGTTTTTGGTGCCTGAAAATGCAAAGTTTTGAAAACGGGTTCCAAAGTGCAAACTTTAGAAAACAGCACCATCTCCGTCATGATAAAAACTGTCAATATACAGTTCCTCTGAAAACAGAGAGAGAGACGTGAGAGACCCCTTTCTCCCTGCAGAAAAAATAGTGGTCTAAAGTATACCTGTGACACATCTTTTTTAAGGTGGAACAGTTACTTATTGTGGCTTTAAAATAACTAAGATATAACTAAGATTATTAACACTGATTTACAAAGTACATCCATCCATCTTTGTGTAATTTTAAAGATAGTTTGTGTTAGAATAAAACACAACCAGGTTGTTATTTCCGGTCTGTGTGACGCCTTGAAATGTTAGAGGTTTAAGCTCTGATGTAAAGTCCTGGTTTCATCTTTGTTAAGTTTGTTTAAGTCATTACCTCAAACTTCTGGGCCCGGTTGTTCCAAAGTAATCCATAGGATAGGATTCAGTCTTTAAATTGGGTCGATCAGGTTCACCATTGGGTTGTTTAACAATAAAGGATTTGCCCTCAGAGAATATTTCACCACGAAGCTTCATTATGAAATGTTTAATTAGGACTATCAGCTTTAACGTGTAAAAATCATGATGTCATTAAGGGCAGAAATTAATGCTTTTTTTTTTTTTTATCTCATGCCATTTTGACCATTTAGTCACCGTGAGCTTCTCTATGTAGTCTCAGTGATGTAAAAGAAAGACACTGCTGCATCTCTGAATGTCTCATTTCACTTTAACAAACTCTCAGACAGCTCAGCTGACGAGTCCAAAGTAATATTCACCTCATGACATCACACATTGACCTCATGACATCACACATTGACCTCATGACATCACACATTGACCTTTTCAATCGTTCCTTTGAGCTGTTTGACATCAGTTATCCATCTGTAGCGAGTTCCTTTTTCCATAGTTAAGTTAATTTTGTAATCTACGAACCACCTGTAGTTCCTTATTTTCTTTCAAAATAAAAGTGTTTTCATACCCAAACAGGAAGTAAAGTACATTTAGCTTAAGACTGTAAAAAATAAAAGCACAAAAAAAACTGTTTTGAAATGCAAAATAAAGACAGTTCAAACATGCGATTGAAAATGCGATAAATTGTGATTAACTATTGAAATTCAGAGATAAATTTAAAAATGGTATCATTTGACATGAAATATCTAATTGAAAGCAGCTGTAAGAATCTTTGCATTTGGGTGAATTTTGGCACCCCCATGTGGACAGAGCATTTAGTGTAAAGTCCCCATAAAGGCTCTGGGGATCTGGATTTGGTAATCGTTAAAAGTCTGTACCTGGATCAGGGGATCATATCCACTTTAGAGCTGCTATATCTGATACTTTGTAGAAAAGAAGAAGGTCACCAAAACATCGGGTGATTCAAGGGAATCATTTTTTTGAAGAGGTGGTGAAAAAGATCAACTATATTCAGTTTGTTAATATTAATTTCATAATTGATATCAAAGCCCACTAAAATAATCCTCAGAGCTGCTGATATCTGAAGGGTTCTGGGAGTTGTAGTCATTATGTTTATGTTTTTTGTTGCATGTTGCTGCATTAATTTGCACTGGGTGTGGTTTACAAAGAATTACACTTTTTGCTGTGTTGTTGATTTTCTTCTCTCTAAAACATACAAAGTAGTCTTGTGGCCTAACCAAACTGCTCCAGCTTTGTTTTGTCTGGCACCAGAACTACTTGATAAGGTTTACATAAAGATCCTTGCTATAGTACACACAGTACGTCAACACTGAATGTTGAGTTCACAGTGGACACACAGTCTTCAGGTCGAAGGTCAAACAGCATCACCAAAGCGTGCACTGACAGACCCATCCAAACCCCGCCCACCAGGTTTAAACCCCGCCTCTACAGGGAGTCCTGAAGGTTTCTTATTTAATGTAAAGAGTTTATTGTGTGTGTGTGTGTGTGTGTGTGTGTGTGTGTGTGTGTGTGTGTCTGTGTGTACACAGGGCGAGCAGACGGCACTGCACAGGGCCGCCGTGGTCGGAAACAATGACATCATCAGCGCTCTCATCCAGGAAGGCTGTGCACTGGACCGACAAGACAAGGTGCAGATCAATACACACACACACACACACACACACACACACACACACACACACACACACACACACACACACACTCACACACACAGTTAAGAGCTGTGTGAGAAACAGGGAGGTTAAAGCTTCAGGAAGTCTGCATTAAAACATCTCATAATGGCAGAGAAACGCTTGTGCCTGTAATCTGCTTAACCTCAGAGTGCTCGCAGTACAAAGAGAAACGGCCGACAGAACGGGGATTATAACCATGAACAACGTTTTTACTTGCATTCAATGTCAAAAGTCTTTACGTGCTGAATAAAGTGAAATTAAAAGTGTATTTTAGTGGATACTCAGAAATAATCCAGATGTAATAAATCCCTTTTCCACACGACTCCTTCACAGATTACAAATAATCACTCATCCTAACATCCTGTTATATGTTCAAATAAAACAAATCACGCAGTTAAATACACAATGATATCAACAAACAATGACACTGAATAAAAAGAAGAATGTAGGATTGTCAGACTGTTTGTTGATATGAAAATGGACGGATTATCATGACCACAGGCCCTGGACACAAACTCGCTTTGGACCCCTACACATGCAAATATCCCACACATATTTAACCCGACTATCACAAGAACCATTATAAGAACCCAGGCAACACGAGCTGAGACCAAGAGGACCAAAGATTTTAAAAGATGCAAGAAACTAAAAGAGCTAAAAGCAAATCAAAAGATAACAGCAATAAGAAGGTAAGAGCAGTAAAAGAAATAGAAACGAGTGATTTAATGATCAGAGTAATAGTAACAATAATAAGAAGTATATATACACATATAAAACATAAATTATAAAGTAGGCAAAGTAGGTAAGATAGAAAATTATCAAGTTAGAACAAAAGAGCCATAAGAGCGGTTAAGGGAAAAGAAACAGTTATACGAGATAAGAGCATAAATAAAAGGACAGTAAGAAGTAAAAGAAGATGAAATTGGTAAAGTTATGAATTAGTCCTTATTAAGCTCTTATTATTACCTTATTCTACATGACCAGAGTCTAATAGGATAATAAGAGTTTGCCCTCAATACCATCTTAATCACTGCTTATTGGCAGTAAGTTAAGAAGTTGTTGAACATGAATTGTGTTTGCTCATGGTTCTTGTAAGGTGAAGTAAGCAAAAGCATATTAAGATTATAATTCATGTTCATCAACTTCCTATCTTACTACTTAGTAACACATGAGGGATGACCCTCTCTCCCACTAGGCCACATCCGCCCAGTTAGTGCAAAGTGTCTGGAGTTAAATATTCACATAATACAGAATAGAAAGAATAGAGCAGTCAGAGAAAAGTAAATGTTATTTATTGATTATTAAAGAAAGAATAGAATAAATGAAATTCCATCATTGTTCAAGAGTTTCCTTCAAAAGTAAAAAGAGGAGGAGCATCACCGAGTGTTCACATGAAGTCCGGGCCGTCGGTCTGCCTGTTGTTCAGTTTTCATTCTTCTTTTTGTCAGGATGGAAACACAGCGCTCCATGAGGTGTCCTGGCACGGCTTCAGCCAGTCCGTCAAACTGCTGGTGAAGGCCGGAGCCAACGTTCACGCTAAAAACAAGGTCAGTCCAACTCATTCTCACAACAACACCAACAACAACAACAACAACAACCAAGGCATGGATTGAACGTGTTTGACCAGGCCAAAACTGATCTTGATGAAAGACTCTGACTCTGTCCTGCATTTCTCTCCAGGCTGGAAACACGGCCCTCCACCTGGCGTGTCAGAACGGTCACGCTCAGAGCTCCAAAGTTCTCCTCCTGGGAGGCTCCAGACCCGACAGCAAGAACCACGTAAGTCTGCAGCAGAGTCGTCATGCTCTTAACTACTCACTAACACGAGGGAGGATTCATGTGATGCACCCAGCAGCTCCCTGTTGTACACTGGTGTCTGTCAGCCTGCCATTAACTGCATTATTCATTATTTATTTATTACAGCATGACGGGTTTGAGAGGTGAAAGATGTTCTCAGTAGTCGTGCTCTCATCAAGATCCATCTCCTGACTCTTGAGTTCAAAGTTTTCTTTTGTGTTTTTTCTTGGTCACAAACTTTCTGTTTAGGTTCTCTCTCGTGGCTCTCACTGAAGTGGTTTTCCTCCAGAGGAGTTATTGGATGAAAACGATGAGCTGATCTCTTTTGAAGCAATAATATGTACCTTTTCCACCTTAGAATAGTCGCTTCAATGGTTGATTTAATAGCACGATAACTTTCAACAGTGTCTCTATCATGTCCACATAGCAGCCCAGCAGCCTGTTTACTGCAGTATGTAACTTTGGCAGCAGGTTGAGGTCATCTCCATCAAGAAGTGCGTACGGCTTTACAGTACTATTTTCACACAGCCGCCTTCAGTTATATTAAGCAGTCAGTTAGCCTGTCTCTGTACTGTTTGATACGATTGGATACTGTGATGTTCAGTCAAACTCTACATACAGTATCAGCCACCATTTGAATGAAGGTAATTCCTGGTTTCCTTGACCTTACTATATGATCAGACATTATGAAAACATGCTGTGTTGAAGTGCTGGCTTCTCTGACAACAATGTAGCAGTCAGTATGTCCTCCTTCTAACTTTAGATTCTGGTCCTGAATGCTCTGGATTTGTTTGGACCAGAGAAGATAGCCGGTTTTAAGGCTCCCCCAACCGGCCGTTTTGGATGCCGCTTGCTTTGGCTGATATAAGAGTAGTTATCCCGACAGACCAACAGGTGTTGTAGTGATGGAAGTGATCAAGAGAAGTGGTTCAGATAAAAGTGATTGTACCCGACCTAAAAAGCCTCTGCATGTTTCTAATAAGCTCCACGAACAGAAACGTGCTCAAACTAGGATCAATATTGGAGATGATTTTGAAAAATGGAGAGAGGTTAGAACACAGAAAGGTTTACAGACCGATGCAGAGCTGGATAAACACTGAAGCTACAGTGTCTGAGACATGACAACCTGCATGCACATTGACTCTATGGAGGAGAGGGGAGCTTTCTTCGATGATTTGAATTTGGACTGCAGTACCCATTTAAAACGCTTGGTGTCAGAGTTACATTCTGCTCCTTTAACCTTGACCCTATTTAATTTTGACATATTTGGGGTCTAAATGACTAACAAGTACAAATTAATGTCATATTGCTTCAATAATTCGCTTCAGCCTGCAGCAGTGAAACATGCTGTCATGGCTGTAAAGTCGTTGTGACTCCTTCACTGCAGATTCCAAGTAGTTTAAAATAAATAACATGTTCCTGTAGTTTTCATTTAACCTGAAGAGACAGGAAACTTGAAGAGAAACAAACTCGTACCTTTACTTCTTCCTCTCTTGCTCACATTTCCGTTTCATCATCCAGGATGTCGTCCTGCTGTGTACCGAGCGCTCACACGGCGCAGGACTCTCTGAATTATGAAACACTGTACGGTACATTTGCACTTCAGACATAATGTGCAGCCTCATGGGGAAACTTGTGTTACTCAGCGAACACACAAACAGGAGGAGCTGGTTGTTGACTTGTTGTTGTTGTGGGTCTGAGCTGGAGCTTGAGTGCTGATTGTTGGAAATCACTGACGAGTCCTTCATGTTTAAATTAATGAACAAAAGTTACTTTAGTTAACCAGAAGATCTAAGGACGCAAAATCTTCACATTGTTAAAAGATGACAATAAGAAATGAACTTTGCTCACTATTGGTGTTAAATAATAAATGAAATCACATAAAAAGATTCAGAGCAGAAGCCAACATCCTGATATTTTGACTGCTGAGTAATCTCTACTTTATCCCCTATATTTCAAAGTAACAACTTATTATTACATTTTAAATGTCACATATAATGTAAAATACACTTCACCATGTTTTTCTAACACTAATATGTGTCCCTAGTCTGTCTACAAACCCCCCAATTATGAGAAAAGTCCATCCTCTCCGTCTTTTTCCTGCTCCACTTTTCAGAAAATGTGTGCTCAAACAGGCCATTTGGAGATTTTCCCTTTGTGACATCACAAAGGGCAGTAACCCCTCCCCCAGGTGGGTGACAGGTGTTTGTTCTGCCCTCTGAGTCTGCCTTCTCACCGTAAACAATAGGACATGGAGCGAGAAATACTGAGACACCCAAGCCCTTCCAGAGAGGGGGCGTGGTCAGACACAGCTCATTTACATATTTAAAGGTACAGAAACAGCCTGTTCTGAGCAGGGCTGAAATAGAGGGGTTTATAGACATGGCGGCTGTGGCTCAGAGGTATTATAGAGTTGGTTGTCTCTCAACCAGAAGGTCAGGGGTTTGAGCCCCAGCTCCTGCTGGCACATAGCAGTGCACTGCAAAACACTTAGCCCCAAGTTGCTCCCACTGCTTCGTCGGCGCTGTATTAATGTGTATGAACAGTTTTGATGTCACTCTCGATTATGTTGTAATCATTTCTAAATCTCCATAGTGTAATTTTGATTATGATTCATCCTTTAAATTGTTTAATGTCGAACGGAAGTACAATGTCTTGTAAATTATCTAATCTTTACTTTTCTTCGGCCAGGTGGGGGACACATGTCTCCATGTCGCTGCTCGGTACAACCACCTGCCGATGATCCGCATCCTGCTGGGAGCGTTTTGCTCCGTTTCAGAGAAGAACCTGGTGAGTAACTGAAGGATGGGAAATGATCACCTATCACCATCTATAGTGAATACTCTAAAAGAGGACATATTATCCCCCTTTTTAATGTTTTGGTTTGGTTATCATGATAAATCAATGGAGAAAGAGAAAGTTTTTATTTTTTATATTTAAATATTATACACACTTTCATTCCTTTAATAACACAGTACAGTTTATTGACTGATATATTTCTATTTTGCTCAGGTTGTTGAGATTCTAGAGATATTAAGCATTAAATTGGAAGTTTTTTTGTTTGCATGCTATAGATATTCATATATAGAGATGGTCGACGCTCATACCACAATTTCTTGTGTGTGTGTGTGTGTGTGTGTGTGTGTGTGTGTGTGTGTGTGTGTGTGTGTGTGTGTGTGTGTGTGTGTGTGTGTTTGTGCGCGCTTGTTCAGGCAGGGGACACACCGCTCCACGTTGCAGCTGCTCTGAATCATAAGAAGACAGTACGTTTGCTGCTGGAGGCTGGAGCAGAGAGCCGCATCTGCAACAACGTGAGCGCCTGCAGACTCTCTCTAACATCTTTACAGCAAACTAAAGACGTGTTTGTGTTGTGTCTCACACTGTCCCTGCTGCTGATGTCCATTTACAATAAATGAAGGCAACATTATACAGAGAGGAGGTCGAGAGGAACTATAAGAAACTATATATAGATATATTGTTGTTACACGGCTCATGTTTATTAACGAGGCTTCTTTAATGGATGTAAACCAGGAGATGATGCTTTATGTCTTTTGGTCACACAAGTCTACAGGCTGAAAAGTTAAACCATCAATAATATCAAAGTCTCAAAAGAAAAATAAATACAGGGTAGTCTCTGAAAATGTTGGGTACAATCCAGATCCTGAATGCAACTATTGATGTAAAAAAAAAAACTTGAGGCCGTGTAGGATGAAATAATAGACAGACAACAGTGAAATAAACATTAAGCTCATGAGCCACAAAAAACAAACAAATATACTACATATGATTTATAGACTTTTGGTCTTTGATAAATAAATGGGATCTCTGCCGAGATCTTGTTGACCTTGTTAATAAATCAAATCAAATTAAATAAAACTTTATTGTCATTTTGCAATGCAATGGTTGTCAAGAGCAGAATAAAGACATGTTTGACAGGTTATCTCTGATTAACTTAACCCCTTGTTCAACAATTATGACTAAATATTTATATTAAAAAACATCACAAATAAAATACACAATGGGTCAGAGAACATATTCTGGTCACTGTTGGGGTTGCAGCTTCTAGAATAAAGTGATAATTAAAGTTCGATTTAAAGTCAAATAATTATTACCGCCATTTCAAGTTATTTGAGGATTTTTTTTTATTTGGGGAAAAAAATATAAGTCTAAATTGTTCAGAGCTAGTTCAGACGCACACTACAGTCCACAATCCCCTGATAACACCAATAAGTGGTCTATTTAAGCTACAGATTTCCGGTCTCTCCCCCTCTTTGCTCTTTCATTGCCAGCTTTGACCTGCATCAGTACTGCACTCTTGTTTTCAGCCCCAACAGCCCCCCCCCCGCCCACATCCACCTGTAGGACTGGGAGTTTAAGATTTCATCCAATCATTACTCAAATGTCTGCATGTAAATTAAAACTGTAAGGAGTGGTGAGGTCAGAGCCTAGACGCCAAACACAAACTATGAAACAATTAAATATTTAAAAGGAAACTAACGTGATTTGTTTGACTGAACTGAATTTTTTAATAAAGGCTGGTCCACCCATCTGCATCTCCTGCAAACAAACTTTAACCACTATTTGAGGATTTATGATAATTCTATGATCTCTTTGACTGTGTGTGCGTGTGTTTCTGCAGGCAGCTCAGACAGCTCTGGACCAGGCTAGAGAGCACAACAACCCAGATGTTGCTCTTCTCCTCACTAAAGCCCCCCAGGTAAGATCACTAACTCTGCTTGTCATCACTACAGGCAGCATATAAAACAAAGGTTGTTCCAGTTGTGACTTCCTCCTGTGTGTGTGTGTGTGTGTGTGTGTGTGTGTGTGTGTGTGTGTGTGTGTGTTCAGGTGCAGAGTTTTCTGCGAGGCAGGAGTGTGAGGAAGAGGAGAGATAAGCTGAAGGCGGAGGGTCGAGCTCAGTCGGTGCCCAGAGACGAGATGCTGCCCTGCAAGGTAAAAATAAAATGTATCTGATCGTGTGACTGCAGATCATTCATACTTTGGTTAACTAGTGCAGCAACAAAACACTAACACAAAAACTCAAGCTAGAGTATTTCAAGGTCCACTAGAATATGATATCAAGGATTAAATAAAACGTATAGTACTTGATGTTAGGTTCATGGTGGAAGAGGGAACTGGAGGGAATTGGTAATGCTTTTGAATTTTTAGAATTTTTAAAACCTACTGCAAATGTTGTTGTCCATGCATTTTTTTAAAATGTTGAGTACCCAAGCGTCTAAACATTTCCTGCTCTACCAAACCTTTCCTTCCTCTTGCTCCTGCAGGACAGTGCGTCTGCTGCAGAGGACACGCAGAGCAGCGACCGCGCCGCCTGAACACGCAGAGGTGACCGAGTCAAACACCAGGCAGGGGAAGAGCAGGAAGCAGAAAGAAAGGTGAATCCCTGAAGTCCCATCAAAGAAACATTATCACATAAATGTTCTTTGGAGGGAAGAGCTCTTGTGAAAGTTCTGAGCAGGTGGAGTAGAGATGTTAGAGTGACTCACCTTTCCTGCTGTTGATGTTTCAGCCGTCGCTGTCCGACCCCTCCGCCGCAGAGATACCCGGCACAGTGAAAGTTTTAACAAGAGGAAAGATAAACTGAGAGGAGCTGCATGCATCCCTCCTCACAACTACAAAGCCTACCAGCTGTACACACTGTACCGCAGCAAGGACGGAAAGATCATGCAGGTGAGATATGAGTCCTGGAATCTTTGTGTACTTTTTCAACCTTAGTTAACCTAATTAGTTTATGGTCCCAATTTTCTAGTTTTAAGCCTTCTTCAATACAACATGGTGTTCATTTAGTAAATGATAGTCCATTTATGAGTCCTAGCCATGTGCACTTCTGAACATTTCTAGATCATTTCTGGAGGACTGCCCATGAGTCCCATAAAAGAACAATGACGTAGTAGATGAAGCAACAAAGTCCGCTATACAAAGCTATAATGAGAATATTTTCCTTAAATCAATGCTATGTGGAGCTCAACATATTCAGTGTTGTGTTTCAGGCTCCTCTGAACGGCTGTCGCTGTGAACCTCTCATCAATAAACTGGAGAATCAGCTGGAGGCCACCAAGGAGAGATGAAGACCGAGATCCACACAGTCCAAGACCTGCTGAACAGCAAGATGGGTCCAGACCTGATGACAGCAAGATGGGACAGCTGGACCGGAAGCAACAAAGTCCGCTATACAAAGCTATAATGAGAATATTTTCCTTAAATCAATGCTATGTGGAGCTCAACATATTCAGTGTTGTGTTTCAGGCTCCTCTGAACGGCTGTCGCTGTGAACCTCTCATCAATAAACTGGAGAATCAGCTGGAGGCCACCAAGGAGGAGATGAAGACCGAGATCCACACAGTCCAAGACCTGATGAACAGCAAGATGGGACAGCTGGACCGCAAGAACAAGCACCAGGTAACACACACAGCAGGTAACACACACTGCAGGTAACACACACTGCAGGTAACACACACAGCAGGTAACACACACAGCAGGTAACACACACAGCAGGTAACACACACAGCAGGTAACACACACAGCAGGTAACACACACAGATTCAAAACTGTCAGTGCAGTTCAGTGTTTCAGATTAAATCTTCTCAAAGAGACGGCACACAGCTGTTGATGTTGAGTGTCACTGCTGCATGACAAAATACAGACGTGGATAAATGCAGGAATGCATATCAACACAATCAGGTATGAAGGCCCAAAGGTAATTGCAGGAGAGGATCATGGGAAGTTAAAGAGGACAATGAGATGTTTTTCTACAGCTTACCGACCAACACTGGGTGCTGGGATGAGGCTTTGGCTACTATTCAAGAAAAATACTTTCAGTGTGTTTCAGTGTTTTTTCACCATGAACCAAACAAAGGCTTATCTTTGCTTTATTGTTTCTGCCCGCTCTCCTGATCCGTGTGCTTTTTTCTCACCGTCAGATCCGAGCTCTGGATAAGATGACGGTGGAGAGAGTGTCTGCAGAGAGGAGCGAGTGTGTGCAGAGGATTGAGCAGCGAGCTCTGCAGGAGAGGCAGGAGGCAGAGAAGAGACAGGTAACAACTAGCAGAACTCGACGTGGACACAGACTGCACTCCATGTTTACAACTTACTGCACTGTTGTCTATTACATCAGATATAACAAGTAAAGGTATGCAGTCTGTACTGCATGTATATTTTACCCCCCCTTCTGAACACAACCAGAAATGACTCCTTATCACGGGAAAGTAATAAAATAATAATGAATAAAATAAATACATATATGGATGAATGTTTGCTTACTCCATAAGTAACAACATCTTCTGTAGCAGGGCGACATTAGTTTGACTTGAAGTAATAAAGACTCCGATCTGTGTGTGGTGTTTGTGGCCTTTAAGCAGGCGTCCCTGGTCAGCGAGCTGAAGAGCTGGTGTCTGTCCAAACTGCAGAACATGGAGGTCCGCTTCACCGGAGACCCCGCCAGGCTGCAGCGCTCCTCCTCCGTGACCGAGGGCCTAAACGAGGCAGAGGGAGCCGGCCTCACCGTGCTGCCCCCCGGCTCACAGTGCCTGGAGCTCCACAGCAGCCCCGCCCACCCGGACTCCAGCTGGGGGGAGGCCAGCGTGGCAGAGAGCGGCGCCAACAACCACTACTTTGTGGTCCATGTGGAGAGTTCTCCAGGTAACAGCTGCAGTGAGACGCTCACAGAGAGTCCTCAGGTCTTTGTTGATTGTTAGTTTTGAGTTTTGATGCATGTTAACATGTTAGTCCGACTCAAATGATAGTTGAATAATGCAGATGGATTAACTCTTGCATGTATACACCACAGTCGGGCCCATACTGGACTAGGCGTTCTGAGTATACTCCACAGTCCCCGCGCCAGGCTTTGACCCCGAAGTCCTACTGCAAAAGTGTGTTGCATGAGTGTAGTCTCGTTGTCGTCTGCCTTCAGATATATCACCGTTAGCTAGAAGGATAACTTGCATCGCATTTGAACCAAAAGTGAAGTGTAGAGCTGTAGAGATGTAGAAAATGTACAAAGGGTTCATGTTTTAACCCTTTCCACAAACAAACCACCACATTGCCATCTGCTGACTTGCTAGCATAGAATGAATAGATTATCCGTCAGTGTGTGTAGAGTGGGACACATTACTCCAATTAAACGGCCTCATAGAGCTGGACTTAACTGTGTGTGCAAACATTTTAATAGTTCAGCTCTCATTTAAATTTAATTGACATTAAGACAAACAAATGTTACCACCATTCGAGTTATCAGGGAACAGTTTACATACGATACATATGACTTTAAGAGTAAATGAGAGAAATGAAACAAGCGCTGCACTGTTGTCAGGGTTTGTTTTGTGGCGAGAAAAGACGCTTTAAGTGAAACCCTGTGAGGATGATTTGTTCTTCAGGAGGATGTGATTAACATTTCATGAGTTCCTCCGTTGAGACGTTTTGGGAAAGAACCAATTCGCTGCTGGAGAAAAAACACAAAATCACTGAAAATGTGACTCCGTTTGCCAAGAAGGAAATTAAAGATGCAGAGTTATGCTGCTTTGAAAGCAGGAAGTAGACCGTGTAAAAATAAGCAGCCAATGACAGCCTTTCACCCGTCATCTGCATGTTATCATTTTTTTTAAATATCCCTATCATTACTATACAAATAAAAACCTTTAAGATTGTATAACGTCATTGACATGCTTTGTTCTGTCCTTCATTTAGAAGTTTAATGCTCATAATGTTCCATAAAATCAAGATGCTGCATCCGTGGCTCAGCAGCACTCAAAACAATCATAGCTGCTTTGGGGGAATGTTAATAGTGTTCTCCCTTAGAGCAGAATGATAAAGGATTCAGGTCTAATAATGGCAGTGTATGCATGTGGTGTACGGTGCATACTGCTGATATTAGCTACACAAGTACAGGTAGATCAGCCATGACGGATCTGTCTGTGTCACTTTAATACCATTTCAACTGCTTCTTTTGCACCACATCTGGTAATATGGACCAAGTCCCTACAGAATGGTAGGGGTAGCTCAGTCTGTAGGGACTTGGGTTAGAAACCAGAGGGTCGCCGGCTCAAGTCCTGGAAATTGGTCTGGTTCCTGTAGAGGTGCCAGCTCACTTCCTGTGCACTGCCAAATTACCCTTAAGCAAAGCACTGAGTCCTCAACTGCTCAGGAGCGCTCGCTGTGGGCTTCCCCCTCACTCTGAAACCTCTCCATTAGTGTATGTCCACAGGATCCTGTTTGTGCATGTGTGTGTATTTCGGCCTATTGGTGTGTAAAACAGAGTGTAAAAATGAATATCCCCTCGTCAGATTAGTAAAGGATATCTTCTTCTTCTTCTAACCCGTGTTTATATATTATAAACTACCTCTCCTGTAGCATCACAGACCTTGACAAACCAAATCTCATTTCTCTGTGTACTTGTTGTTTATGGTTGAAATGACAGTAAAGAAACCCGTGACTTGACTTGATGTAGTTTTTTAAGCATATATTGAAAACTACCAAACAGAGTGGATTTAAAGGGTCATTCTGGTATTTTTATTTTTAGACCTGTGTTTTATTTATATTTTGGGGTAAATGGACACAAAGCACAAAAAGTTTTGCTATTCTGGCTTCAAGACAGTTTGAGGCAAAGCATCTGATCAAAGTGTGTTCGGTAAAAGTAGTTTTTTGTCCCTGTCAGGATCAGATCGTTCTTCTAAGTGACAATTTCAAACTCTTAATCAAAGAAACGATCCCGACAGAGATAGACCTTTTTTTTTGAAAGAGGAAGATGATTTTTTTTTAATATCAGAAACAGCTGTTGCTTCACTCTCTGCTAAGCCACCAAAATCCATTTACAAAAACCCTACATTTGAGGTTGTAGGACATGGAGGGTTCCTTATCTAGCATCGTGCATGAAAAGGTTTTCTGTGTGTCTGTGTGTGCAATTGTGTAACTTTGGTATTTTACAGTTGAGCTGATTGTCTTACTCTGCTTCATTTAGTGTTTCAACAAACCAGCTATATGACCAAGGCAGTGATACACAAAATATCCTTGTAACATTAGTTTTTTTAAACTTCCAAATAGACTTAGTTTCTAAAGTACTGTAATTACTCTTAATCTTTAAGCAAATGGGCTCAGTGAATCTTACTTGTAAAATTCCCTGATGTAAATAAGTCTCAGTGAAGAAGTCTGAAGATGATTTCTTTAAACTATAAACTGTATCATCAGTCTCTCCAAACCACCAGACTGCATTGTCAAAAACAATAATGTCCCCTTGCAGAACAGGGGGAGTTGCTGGTCTACCTTTGACTCGCCTGGTTGTTAGTTTGTGTTCTTGTGTTTCTATGGTGTTACACTGGTTTAGTTCAGTTCATACATGATATTTCTGTAACGTAGAGGGATGCAATCAAGGTGCACAAAAAACCTATTAGTCATTTAGTCTCCAAAATATGTTTAAAAAGTAGGTCAGACGTTCTTCAATAATAACTCAGTCGTGCTCATTGAATCTCTTTTGTACATTTCACAGATGTGAATAAGACTCCCGGTGCAGAGGTCGCCTCTCCTGCATCAAAGACCCCGCTGTCTTCTGTCCAGGTGGTCCGACCTAAAGAGCGCTCAGTGATCTGTGCAGAGGCTCAGAGGAAGAACCCGGACCTGAAGGATGTGGACATGATGGAGAACCAGACGACAGGGAGAAGGATTCACAGAGCCAGCAGCCTGTCTCCGGCCACAGAGCGGCGCTGCAGCAGCAGGACTGAAGCCGGGGTCAGAGACAAGGAGCGAGGGCGGGACAAAGGGAAGCACCACAGGAAGCACTCCCAGGGCAGGACTAAGTCCAGGGGGGCTGCCGGGGTGCGGACTCTGGAGGTGTTTGGAGAGCAGCAGCCCGGCGAGCCCTCCTTTGCCCAGGAAAAGGACAACATGCACGCGTTGGAGGTGACACAGTACTTCTTCGAGGCGGTGTCGACGCAGATGGAGCGCTGGTACGAGAGGAAGGTGCAGGAGGCTCGCTGGCAGGCCAATCAGAGAGCGGAGGCTGACAGAGCCGCTCTGATCGAGAGGATCACCTACCTGGAGGACGAGCTGCGCATGCTGAGGACAAACAGACACGATGACTGCTAACACACGGCTCATATGATGTTACCATGGAAACTGGTAAACACCATGTGTGTAATGATATTCCCACATCCACTAGTTTTCCTTTTTCTTATCTACTGACAGTTTGGAAGCTCAAATTATAAAAAAATGTGAACCTGATATACAAGTTGTAAAAAGAAATAGAACAGAATATAACCATTTTTTGATTGATTGATTGATGACAAACTGAAAAGACTGGGGCCCCAGATAGCCGAGCTGTTATGTTGCGCACCGTATACCATGGCTACAGTCCTGGTCTAAGGTGCTGTGGGTTGGAATCTGACCCCGGCCCTTTCCTGCATGTCATCCCCAACTCTCTCCTCCCAACATTTCCTGTCCCTCTTTAGCCGTCCTATCCAATAAAAGCAAAAATAACGGTGATTGACAATGAAAAATGTAAATCTGGAGGGACATTTTTCAAGTTTAAGGACATATTCATTACCTATTAGCCACTCTTAAACAACAGCTCGTTAGTGTGCAAAGCTTACTTGGCTAAAGGAACCCTTTGTGAGTAATATGACAGGAAAGCCAGATATGAGCCAATGAGAGCCTGAGTTGAGAGTAGGTGCGTGCCTCTTCTATTCTGAACACGAGGATAAACTGCTTGAATCAATAACTAAAAATAAAAGGGATTCTGTCTTCAAACAGGAAGGACAGTAGCCTCAGCTTAAGACAGTACAACATGTCAAAATAAAAGCCTAACACAAACAGTTTTTTTAAATGCAGAATAATGGAATTTCAAACATGCGATTAATTATTGAAATTCAGCCATTAATCGCCATCAAAAACATGTAATCGTTTTGAGAGCCTTAAGGCTGTTGTCTTCTTTTGTGTGGTTCTGATTCTAGTGTTTGGTTTAGTTATGTATTCAGTGTTAGGGCACAGCTGTGAGCAACATATATGCTTATACCCCCCCCCCCAAAAAAAAAAAAAAAAACTTTGCTTAACCAGGACTTATGGCCAGATGTCCCTCCAGATTTGTCCTTTTAGTTACTGGTGGAATCAGGAAATATTGACACCAACACAACTCGATGAAAGCATTTGAGCTTCCAAACCCAGACTTCACATCGGAGGATTATGGCCACAGAATGACAGCCAAAGACTGTACAAGCAGTGGACGTAGCCACCATGCTGTCACTTACTGAAGCGTCTTAATGCCATCTTGTTTCTCGTAGCTTGGAGGGAGTGATTTGAAGAGATGACAAACCTGAAGAGGAGCGAGGGGTTGCACTTAGACAGGTGCATCACTACTTTAAATAACTGATATTAATTAGGATTCATATTTTTGCAGGTAAAACCATTCTTTGAGCTAAAAGAAGAAAATATCCTTTCGTTGTCTTTAGTTCTACCAATCACTGAGTCATTTTTCTGATTTCCCTGGTATCTCCTTAAAATCACAGGTAACCCCGCCCATAAGCACCCCCTGCTCTCTGGTCTCTTTAACTCTAAATGGGACCATAACTTACTGAACGAACATCCTGCTGTATTGAAACGGACTTGAAACTACAGATTGAGACAGTGATGTCATCAGGAAAATGTTTCCTGAAGGAAGAAATCAACTGCGGACATTTCATCATAGACATCTGTACAATCAGATGTCAGGAATCTTCCTACTCTTTTTTTATATTCAGTCAACAGATGCCTAAACAAAGCTCCATCTTAAAAACACCATCCTGTTGGTAGTCATGGTAACACTGCACAGGTGAATTGAGATGTGTACATACAGTTTTATAGTAATAAGGCAGCTCTCGTGCACTGTGTGTTGTAAATAAACCAGTAGACTGAAAGCTAGATATTGATCTCATGTGCCATTGAAAAGATGGACTCTGTGCGTCACAAGAATATTAACGACTCTTTGTTGTGTCAGCGTCTTTAACACTAACGAGTTTGAGATGATCTGAAGAAAGTGATTGCGGTCTGAATGGAGGACTAACAGTGTAATAAGCTTTGTGTTTATCAGTGCATGCTGGAATCAGACCTGTGACTTCAATGAACAACCCACTGCCTATTTATGACGGGCTGAAAGAACACAGTATGCACCACCACCACCACCACTACTACTACTACTATATATATATATATATATATATATATATATATATGTATGTGTATATAGTGTTTCTTTTGATATAATGTGTATTTTGAGGCTGGAGTGTGCCCAAACTATATATGAAGACTTCTACAATGTGTCAGTTAAACAAGTGAGTAGGTGGATCCACACTAAAGATCCATATTGTTATGCTTTTATTCTTTATAACTTGTCATTCTTAGATGATTTTCTTGTTAATTCAGCAGATTTTGTGTATTCAATATGCTTCTTCTTCTCACCAGTACACTGTAGTGTGTTCATTTCATACACCCTGATGTTACACTGACCCACCCTGCAGAGGCTTTAACACTTAAGGAGTGTTGGGGTTTCCCTCCGGGTACTCCTGCCTCCTCCCACACTCCAAACACAGGCTCTTTAGGTTGATTGGTGACTCTACATTCTCAGTAGGTGTGAATGTGAGTGTGGCTGGTTGTCTCTATATGTCAGTCCTGTAATTGACTGGTGAACAGTCCAGGGTTTAACCCCCGCCTCTCACCCAATGAATGCTGGGATCGGCTCCAGCTTCCTGCGACCCTGAACAGGAAAAGCGATATAGATGATGGATGGATGTTTAAAAGTGAGGGAAATCTGCTTTTTCTTCATTTCTACTAATATGGACATTTTATAATAAAAATACAAAGACACGACTGTGAACACTGTGAAAGTTGATATCTATTTCTGTGGCACACTCCAGACTCTTTAGATTTGGATAAACAAGAAACTTTCAAACAGCGTCAAACTCTAAATGTCCTGTCAATTAAAGAACGTATCCTCCCTCAGACATTCATCCACACCAGGTTCCTGAGTGTTTTTTAAACTCTGCAGCGTATTGTAGCTGAACTCTGACGTCTTAAACTGTTGTTAACCGTCCCCTGAAAAACCCTCCTGTGACATTTTTGTAAATGTAAGGATCTGTTAACGGTTTCTGTTTTATAGCTTAAACTACAGCGGACACTTCAGCTTTAAAATGAGTTTGTTGAAAAAGAATCATCAGCAACTACTTCAGAGATCATTATTCCTCCCTTGCATGTTTCTCTAAAGTGATGGTTTGTGAATTTTCTGTATTCAGTTATGAAATCAGGAACATATTAAAGGTCACATATTACATAGAATACACTTCACCATGTTTTTCTAACACCAATATGTGTCCCTAGTCTGTCTCCAAAACCCCCAATTATGAGAAAAGTCCATCCTCTCCGTCTTCTGCCTGCTCCACTTTTCAGAAAATGTGTGCTCAAACAGGCTGTTTGGAGATGTTCCCTTCATGACATCACAAAGGCAGTAACCCCTCCCCCAGGTGGGTGACACTCCCACAGCTAGGTGTTTGTTCTGCCCTCTGAGTCTGCCTTCTCACTGTAAACAATCAGGCATGGTCCAAGAAAGCACAAGCCACATCCCCTTACAGAGAGGGCGTGGTCAGACACAGCTCATTTACATATTTAAAGGTACAGACACAGAAACAGCCTGTTCTGAGCAGGACTGAAATAGAGGGGTTTATAGACATGATCAAATACAGGATCAGAGTGGATTTAGAACAAGAAACTTCACACACGTTTGGAGGAGCTCTGAGATTTATTTAAACTGGTTAAAAAGGAGAATATGTGACCTTTAACTCAGTACTGAAAAAGAAGCATTAGTTGCAGCTCTCTTCAACACAAACTAACCCCTCTCCCGATCCTGAACAGCTAACTACATTTAACCTCTGCTGGTCTTTGTCTGCCTGTACATGATCGTTGTAACATAAAGCTGGATTGTGTTTGAAGCTGTTGTATGAAGAAAGCTCAGAGTTGTGTTGCAGTATTCTCGTCTGCTGTGTGTTTGGTGTAGTGACCGTCTGTTCAGCTCAACAAAATCTAACTGCAGAGCCACAGCTCCCATGACCTACGTTTTTTTAGACGTATGCATGGGCAGGTTTGTGGCATTATTTTAAATGTAGCTCTCTGAAGTTGTGTTTTTTTTTACTTTTACTACCTAACCAGGCAGGATATTATGTTAACCTTTGATGAACCTGCACAGCGGTCAGGATGCTGATGCCCAAAGTTGGTGCTCTGTGGCTCTGCAGTTTGATGTTAGTTGGTTAGTTTTTCATGAATAAATGTTGATATGAATAATGCACTCTGAAAACACATTTTGTATTAATTAAATGATCTTTCTACTTCTGTCTGTGATTTCATGACTTCCTGTTTAATACACACAACACATATGACACACAGCACAGTCAGAGGTGAGGCTCAGTTGGCCTTACAGGTTCATGAGTTCTTCTGAACACGATGAGCAGCAGCACAGACGGTTTTACAGAACGATGCCTCCGCATCAGTTCCATTAATCCGTCCTTCAGAGGGCGTCCAGGCAAAGACAGGTTTCAGAAGTTTCCCTGTTATTTCTTCCAGAGTTTCAATCAAACACTTGATGGTCTTCACAGAGTGCAGATCCAAAGTAGTCTTCAATCTGAAGCAGTGAACGAGAGTTAACTCCTGGCCAGCGCCAAAGACTTCTGCAGCTCCTCCAGGTGGTTGTTGGCTTGTGACACCATCATTCGGATGGCATCCTGAAAGAAGAGACAAGAGGGAAAAAACAAACGTGAAGATCAGAGCAGACGATGATCTACCTCATAAATTAACCCTGTGTATGAAGAGTGTTTGCACACGTTCTTCATACACAGAGATTTAGAACTGAGGGTTCATTTATGAGGTTTTTCTGGAGCCTTCACTGAAGCCCCTTTTCCACTAAGCCACTTCCAGAACTGGTTCAGACCCAGTGCCTAAGCTAGCACCAGTTCTTTGTGTTTTGAAAGCCAAAGAACTGGCTCAGGGCCAAAAAAGAAAAACAGTTCAAGAGTAGCACCAAGTCCTTGCTGGTCTAAGAGAAAGCACCGCTTACATCACAGGGACTGAGGGCAGGGTTATCGTGACCAAAACAGAAGCACGCAAAAATGTGTTATGACCACCTCAGCGACAGACCTGTTAATGTTTTTGAGCTCCAGAAACGTTGTCATCACATACCTGAGTTATGACCTGAATTATACTGTTTTAAAACAATTCCGTGAGTTGTATGCCACTAATGGCAGGGATGCATCTCTCTGCATAACACCGGTGTGCCAGCTGACCGGGGCCCTGAACTCTGCAACGGTGATGGACATGTTGGAAGCGATCTTGGAAGAGAACGTCCCTCTGCTACAGACGTCCTCTGTTACTAGTAAGTGTATTTTTTTAAAGTGTTTCAGAGTTCACATGGGCTTGAGTATCCCTGTTATAAGCTGTATCCCAGTTTGATCATATTGTGAACGCAATATGGGATATAGTGTTTACATGGACTCTCATTTTGAATCCACCTCACGCATCATCCTCAAGCTTTATGTCGCTTGTGACTGTATGTCTACAGTTTACATGCAGGAGAAACAGTCGGTCAGTTCTGTAACAGCCGAGGGTGATATCAGACAGACTGTTACTGACGAGAAAACGGGCATTTTCTGTTTGCATCAAACAATAGAGAAGAGGCCGCATTACATTTTAAGTTAAGAGTTGTATAGGTTTTGTTTGTTTGGAAAAAGCCACAGTTCAAAGATTTTTGGGTTTGACAATGCGTCATGCGTCATGCTATAGGCTTAGACTACCGAGGGAACTGGCACCTTAAGCTCCTCGCTCTCTCTCTCTCTCTCTCTCTCTCTCTCTCTGTGCATATACAGTACATCATATTACTGCATGTATCTATCTGTAAATCTCAGTCACTAACCACCTACTTTCCTGAGAGCTCTTGAGCTCTCTTGAGCTCTCTTAGGCTCCTCAAGATCGTTGGTTGACGGCCTGCCAGAACAACCCCTGATGTCAGCATGTGACTAACGCACATGCTGACATCGCATCTGATATATTGTTCAGCCATTTTGTAAAGCCACCAGACTCCCTGAACAAAAGAAGTTATTTTAGGTCACTGAACATGCAGGTTGCTTGTTTACCCCAGCTTGTTCTGGTGTTAGATACTTTTGTGTTTTACATTTTAAGTTTAGATAAAACATATTATTTGTGAAACACACAATTTCAAAAATAAACTACCTGATCAAGGTAGCAGTAGATCATCAACTCATGTGTTCTCAAAGATAAGATAAATGTCAATGGATTCTGGTGGCTTCATGAGAGGGATGTGTCCCGTCTCTCACCATCAACATCATCTGTTCACTTAAACAGAGCCTACAGAGCAGTTCTATTATTATAAATGTAAAGGCGAACACGTTCAGACTCTCTCTTTACCGGGTTGGTAGCGCTCTTATTCCTCTTGAACTCGTCTCTGGCCCAGTCTCGGAGGTACTTCCTGTCTCCCTCACTTGGAACCTGCCGGATGGTCCTCAGCATGTTTCTGTAAATCCCCAGGATCCTCTGTCTCTGTAAAAACTGACAGAATACATTGTTTACTATCACAGCACATTATCTTTAGTGCTATTTTATTTTATTAATCCAGAGGGAAATTGAGACTTCCTTCCATTATTGACTTTGTGAGATATGCTATTCGCACACGCACACACGCGCACACACACACACGCGCACACACACACACACACACACACACACACACACACACACACACACACACACACACACACACACACACACACACACACACACACACACACACAATGAAGCAGCAGTAGCTACTTGGGGTTCAGTAGGACATGTGGTTGCAGGATTTGGGTATTGAACCCCCCACCTACTGGTTCAGAGACATCTGACTTTACCACTGACCACAGCCGTTTAGTGACCCTCCTCCCTGGTGTCAGAGGCCTAAACCCTCCATGTAGGGTGTGATGAGGGGTTTTGTTACCTTGCTAAAGGGTCTGTTGGCACTTGTCCATTTCCAGAAACTAGCCCAATTTCCAAACTTTGGTCCAAAACCCTGACTTGAACCTGCGACCCTCCAGTCCCTGCAAACTGAGCTGCTGATGTCATTTCATCATGTCCAAAATTAGTATAAGCAACACCCATTAACCCAATCTCCAACCCATTTCATTTGATTACATTAGTTATGCATCTGTTACAGTACATTTATCAGAGTGCAAAATCCACGCAGGAAATGTCTGGTTTCATTTCAGCTTAAGAAAACCCTCCATCACGGTATACTTAATCTATTCCACCTCAAAAATCACATTTCTGCTTTATTGGGACACCTCTTAACACGGTTACTCTTTTAACCATAACACCGGCAGCCCATTTGACTGACAGCGCAACAGCTACTAAGCTATCACAGCTGGCTGCTTTATAAGTATAGTCCGTGAATCGTTCCAATTCTTACTAATAATGTGAATTTTCTTCAACAGGTGTGAGTATTTACCTGTTTTAAAGAAAGCGCTGCGGTTGGTAACCTTGAAATCGTCATCTCTGTCAGATTGTTGTTACAACTTGTGTGACAGCGAACTGTCAGACCCGGATGTTGTGATGACGTTGTATCCGCTGAGCAGAGTGTTGTCTCCCCCTGGTGGAGCGGAGGACAGCAGGCTGCACAGAAACCAGCCAAACGCAACACAGGAGCTGAAAGTCTTTCTCTCTGTATTACACATTCCTGATTTTAAATTAATATAGCCTATCATAAAAGGGGATGTTTTTTTTCTACTTATTGCAGATAGGCCTACATTTTAATGTAGACAAAGGTAGACAAATGTTGAATCAGCATATAGTACAACTTATACTACAATGGTAATGCTATAAGTAAATTCTTGCTGATAGTTCCCTTGCTTGAATATCCATGAGGCTATAATACTGTACTTTTTCAGCTGGTTAAAGACCCCATGGACCTCGATATAATTACTGCGTTCATTTTTAACTTGTATGTTCTTGCACAGATAGTTAAATCCTACAGATTGTCTCAAACGGTGTATTGCTCTCACTACTGAATGAAGAATGGATTCAAGAAGCTTTTCCAATAAATTAACTTGGATGGACACGGTGCCATCTTGTGGTGAGAACAGTAAATAACAACATTTAAACCCGCTGGACTTGTTTTTTAAGTGGTCATCTTTTTCGGTGCTTATTAATTTGATATTTTCCTTTCTTTCATCTATTTGCTCTTAATTTTTTATCCATCACTAACCTTCATGTATTGCTTGTATTTACTTTGCAGTAATGACTGGAAGTTGTAAGAAAAGTAGAAATATTCTGGGGGGAAATTATTATATTTTTTACATGAAAACATTATGTAAAAAAAGTGAAATAGAAACTGGGGAGAAATTAAATGAAAGAAAATGAAATGATATAATGATCATATTTAGTTGATTGTGTGCTGATGTCGTGGGCAGAGACTATCAGTTGTTTAAGTCATCTGATTCTTCTGAAAGTTTATTTTGTATTCTGTAATTATTATTTTATTTAACCAAACAAGCACTTTTTTCTAAATCAAAACAACAACTACAAAATGTTTTTCATGCCTCTGAAGTGTCCACCTTGTATCCTGTGATTGGTTCATGTGATCAACCTTCATGCAGGTGAAAAAGTTGATTGTTTAAAACTGGAATCTTCTCTGACTCAGATTATTTATAACAGTTTCCATCCAGAAACAAATCATTTGACATGTTGGATGATTCCTGTTGGAAACTCTCACTGATGTTTGTTTAGATTGCTTCTCTCTCTGCGTCTCCTCCTCTGCAGGCTTTTCCGCTCATTCAGCACTAAATGATTGGATGTTTGATGCAGAGTGACAGATAGAGTGGGTAGAGTCAGTTGTCTATAAAGCGGAAGATTGGGGGTTCGATCTCCAGCTAATGTAGCAACATGTCCGATGTGTCCTTGGGCAAACACTAAACCACAAGTTGTTCCGTAAACTCATGAACACCAGCAGGTGTCAGCAGACGGACACATCAGAGGGTCAGTGAGTACATCCGCTGAGCTGATCTCCTCTGACCCCTCGGTGACCTTCTGTCCACATGCTTCATGAGTTGAGCTTCAGTGAACATTTATGTTTTATACACGCTGTAGCTGTACATACAAATCCATGTATTGTGACGTAGTTTCCACACTGTCAGTCAGTAGGATAAAACGACTTAGTGATCATCATAATAACAGGTGGAGTCTTCTTTTACTTTTTGTTATTTTTAAAGCTGGTCTCTGATGTTTACGTTCTATTTGATTTTTCTCTGACCGTCCACTGACTCCTGTCGATGACTTTTGAACAAACCTTCAGTCAAAACGATTGATAATTGATCGATGAAGGGGTAAATAAAACAGACAAACTTAAACATGGGGGCCACACTACAAAAACTCAAACTGTAGCAGTGTATTTGTCTCATTTCTGTTCAGAAAGATGTAAAGATGCGGCGCAATTCTTTCAATTCACTTGACTCCCCACAGTTTGCTGAGTCACGTCACAATGTTTGGGTTTGGTGACCAAAGCTGGCATCGTACACAACACTAGTGTTGTAGTCAAGACCACACTAAGCAAGAGCAGGACATACCCAAGACCAGAGTGCTCCAAGACCAAGACAAGACCGAGACATTCAGGGGTCGAGATTGAGTCCAAGACCAAGACCAAGACCAAGACCAAGACCAAGACCACCAAGACCGAGACCGAGACCGAGACCAAGACCAAGAAAGACCAAGACCATAAAGTTCACTGAAAAGTGTGCAGCAGGCGTGTCACTCACTTAGGCTGTACCAACAGGAAGTTTGCTGACATAACCAGGGGATAACAATCTAACTACAAATTCATTAAAGTTATTTTTTCTTTTAAAAAGGGGTGTTTTTCTTCTAATCACAGTGATGATTTTGAAAAATAACATATCAGTGGTGGTCTTGACCGGTCTTGATTTAAAATCCAGAGTCCACTGAGTCTGAGACCGAGACAAGGCTGAGTAAAAATGCTTTCGATTCCGAGACGAGACATTTAAAACGTTGTCTTGAGACCCGATTTAGAGTACTACACTACCACAAACGTCACCTGCCTCCATCAGCCAATAGAAAAATTCAGTTGCAGTAGCTGTGTTTCAACCTGTACGGTGCAATCGCTATGTAGGTTTCTAACACAAATGTAGAATTTAAATACTTTGTACTCAAATGTCCTGGTTTGGACCCTAATTGATCAAAACACTACTTTTCCAATGCCTTTAAGACTCAAAAACACTCACAGTTTGGATTTAAGAGGAGGTCCACTCGCTGGCATTTCTACACTTGAATTGCGTCTCATGTTCTTTGAGGACAAAACAGTCTAACACAGAGAATGTAACTTTGTATTTATAAGCCAGTCTCTGCTGCTTCTTATATCCTTTAAATCATCAAACTTCTTTTTATTGAAACAGCAAAGTGTGACTCGACTAATGACCAAATTAAAGAAACCAACCTCATGAAGAAAAGGACATTAAGGGAAGTTCAGTAACGACTAAAGTACTGAGCCAGCACATCAAGCTGTGATCGGTCCGCAGGCCAGAACAGAAGCCGTTTTCAGAGCGAGTGAGGACAGAGAACGCGGACGTCATCAAAGCTCAGAGGCCACGGGAGGAAGTGTCTCTGCAGAGCTGAGCAGCAGTGGGTCTGGATTTTTCTTCAAAGCGGCTCGTTCTCAGATCTGGCAGTTTGTCTTCCTCACATACAAACCCCAGCTGTGAGCAGAGCGGACTCTTGGACCGGACCCAGAATTGAAGTGTCATCCTGTTAAATAATGTCAGGCTTCTTCTCAGCGTGCTCCATTAGCTTCATCATTTGTCTGAGACACTGCGAGGAACATCTGAGCCGAACAGCTGGGTATGAGAGTGTTTGAGCATGCTCAGAAATATGCAAAGATGTTACAGTGCTTTTATCTTTATATCTGCAGATTGGTTACAGCTTAAAGAAAACTTTTTCCATGTTTCATGTCGACCTCCCACAGTCTTGATTGTTAATGTATCAACTGAACTGCCAGTACAGTTTTTCACTATTGCAGAAACACAGTACATGAAAGTCGGGCCCTGTTTGTCAAAACTCCACAAACACACAAACACACACACAAACACACAAACACACAAACACACAAAAATCAAAAACATGAAATGAAAGACACAACAACTTAAATCTCCTGCAAAACCAAACACTGCTTTCAAAACTATATAAACTCTCCTTAAAATGAATCTTTTACTTCAAAACTGTAAGACGGTAGCTCCAGAGAAGATTGGTCAGTGAGGACGTCGCTGGTGATTTCTGTGTGATCTGATTGGTTACATGTGTCATCAATCAGTCATTATACATGTGGCCAGTTAAAATGTTATCTGCATAGTGTACAAAAGAAGCCGGTGTAGATTTTACTCTTTGTTAAATTATTTATAAAGACCCAAAATTAATCCATCTAGTTTAAAGGGTCAGATCAGTGTGGGTAGTTTTGTCTTCACTCATGGAGCTTAGCGTACGTTCAAGCAGGAAGACTGGTTATATTACTACCCTACCCCTCTGAGTGCATGAAGTCATCATGACATCGCCAAAGACATTGCAAATGTATCTACTGTTAAATGAATAATTGTAAACTCTTACTTAAGTCTCTCCTGATTGAAATGCACAAAGGGGAGAGTTGGAGACATGTCGTCCATCTTTATTTGCGATGAGTGGAAGACCAGCAGGTAGACACAGCCAGTCCTGTGTTCAGTGAGGTAAAATCGTTGTTTTTTCAATGGAGTCAGGTGGCTTTGAAGTGAATGATATAAAAAGTGTTTCTGGGGACGTCGATGGGCTAGTGGTTAGTTTGCGCAGCCCTTGTACAGAGGCTGTTGTCCTCAGAGCTGGCTGCCTGGGTTTGAGTATTGTATTTGAAACAATCATTTAATCGGGTTCTTTTGCCCCTAAAGGTTCGGTTGCAGCTGTTACAATAAGTTTCACTGCTGCAGGCTGAAAAAATCTATACTGGCGCAATTCAAAATATAACATTAGTCTTCATTTATGAACCAGGACGGCTCCTCAGATCCTCTGGTTCTTCTCTTTTTCTGTTCCACAGAGAGCAGGATGAACTCGTTTGCTGATGCTGCGTTCAGGTGTGTTCAAAAGAGAGCTGAGAATATCAATTGTTTTCACTATCATCAATTCATAAAGCTTTAAAGTGAACACTTGAGTGTTTAGATGATGGTTTTTAGTATTTATGTTTATTTCTCATTGTGACGTTATCTAAATTTATCAACACTTGATCATATTATAATTTTTGCGGTTGTTTGAGAGTTAGGCTGAGACAGGATATCCAGCATGGCGGCTGCTGTTGATGAGCCTCCGGAGCCCGCTGCAGTAACAGATGGGTGACGTCACTCAGGCTTCATCCATTTATATTTACAGTCTATGGTGGACACTCGATCGAACTGCAGATTTTTGCACTTCAGCATTGACATTTTTCAACACTGGAGGTTTCTCTTTGATCAAGCCTTGAATCACCTTAAAACTTTGATTGTGTAGCCAGCATTATTATCTAAATCATTTTTTAACATCAGGTCTTTTTTTCTATCACTTATCCGCTCACTAGTGAAGCACCTGAGTCTGAAAGATGCTATATCAATCAAGTTTGATTGATTAAAAAACAAATTGTTAATCAACAACAGCTCAACCCATCCCAGTATTGTTATTTATGATATACTCTATTTACACCACGTACAGATTATAAAAACCTTTCCCTCGTGTTCTGTAGATATTTCTAAATATGGGAAAGCAATTTCGAGATAAGTCCATCCCACAGTTTCCTTGTTGATGACGGTCTGGATCATAGTATTTAAATAGAGTGTTCTTTCCCTCCTGTAACCCAGACATTAGTTCATGTCTACTGAACAGATACATAAAAACAGAAAGAGCCCGAAAACCCCACATCTGGGTCACTCTCAGTTCATATCAGATCCTTTTACTTCCTGTTAAATCCGACCAAACTCCCCAGAGCCGCCAGCTTTACACACACACACACACACACACACACACACACACACACACACACACACACACACACACGCGCACACACAAATGCACGCGCACACACACACACATGCGCACACAAACACTTGGATTTATGAAACCATTTATATTGTGCATCCTTTTTTTGAGCTCTTTTCAAAGAAATTTGTGTAAATGCTTATTTAGGTTTCCCAGACACAACATGTTACGATCCTCAGCACAGTCGTCCTTTCAGGACAGGAAGTCCTAAAGAATCAGCCGGCGGCTCCAAACAGCCAAAAATAAGAGAGCGTGAGTCTGTGTGTTACTTTCAGCGGCTGCATTAATAAACATCAGAGACGACATGAGTGTGGGATCCTTCCTTCCTGCTCTGCTGTGGTTCTAAGTGGTGGTAGCACGGGCAAATCCGACGTGGTTTGTCTATTTGGGGATTAGAAGTGCCCGGAGTGCTCTGAAAAATCAGGATTAAAGACGGATGTGCGTCACACGGGAAGATTGTGTCTGATACATTATTCTTGGAAGTTATGAATGTTTTCAGTGGAGCTACTTCTTAGCAATCGCCGAACACATAAACCTTGAATCCATGTGTTGTTTTTTGAAAGGAGTAAACCAGGAAGCAGAAACATGTGTGAAAGAAAGACTTTATTTATGAAATTTGCTCTGAAAGCATTACATTCTGAACATTTCCTGGAGTAGAAGGTAGAAGTGATGTTTGATTGGAAGCTGACGGATCTGAGAGCGTGCTCGTCTTCTCTTGTTCAGAGAAACCATCCGTTTGTCTGATTCATCCCAACAATGATATGAAACACTGTGAGAAGAAGTGACATTGAGACTTGAAATATTTGCTGAAATAAGTCCACAGTCCATTGTTGTTGTCTAAAAGGATTTTTAGTTCACGCTGAGACCTCGGCTTTATGAGGATTTCACATTTCCAGAATGAGCTTTCTCATATCTGTGCTGCTTGCATGTTAGCAGGGGGAAATAGCTAGCCTTTAGTCTGGTTACAGACCCTGAATCACCTCAGATTAGTCAAATAGGGTGATTCATGGTCGGTCACTAATACCTCCTAACATTCAACCAATCAGAGCTTGGAGGGTTGAAAAAGAATTAGGGGAACCTTCTTGTACGTCATAACAATCCAGCTACATAACTCACCAATATAATCACAGACAGTCTAAGGATGGATACGGTACTACTCTGTGATTGCTTTGGATAAAATTGATTAAAGTGACCCCCCCCCCCCCCCCACACACACACACACACACACACACACACACACACACACACACACACACACACACACACACACACACAGACATCATGTCCCACTTAAAGAATAACATGATATAAAATGAACAGCCTCATGTTATTATCAGTGCATGTTTAAAACTAGAGCCCGACCGATAAATCGGCCAGCCGATAATATCGGCCGATATTATCATATCTAGTGACTATTGGTATCACCTAATTTTATCACAGATACGCACCGATATTACTAGATTTATTCACCAGTCAAGCATTTTATTTGAGTATCATAGTATTACACTAGCAGGTATCTTTACCCAGCAGAGGGCGCTATATGGATTACAACAAGCATCATCACTCTCCAGTGTTTCGAGCAGTGATGCTCGTACATGCGCAGTTATTTTCCAGTTGAGTGACCATCTTGTATTTATTACATATTAGTGTTAGTGTCTTCATTTGAGGGATCAACACAATCAATTTGTGTATTTATACATATCAATCTATCTCAACAGATCAAACTTAGATCATAGAAAGATATCGGCCAATTTATTGGTTTTGGATTTTTGATATCGGCCCCAAAAATTATCAGTCGGGCCCTATTTAAAACTTGAAAAATAAGATGTGAAAAACAACTTGATCTAATTTAGTGTTTTGTTTTTTAACCATGCTAGAGCTAGAATAGCCATTTACCCCTGCTTCATAAGTAACACCATGTCATCTGTTCCAGCTCCATCCAGTGCATGCACAGACATGTTGATCGAAGCCGTCTCATCAAACAACTCATTCCCCAATATGTGGACATTTCCTTTAAACATGGAGATTCTGTTGTTTCAGCCTCATACACTGTGGGACTGTGGAGTGAAACTGAAGCACTTGTCATCACAGCATGTCCAGCCTCGGAGTAGCTTTTACGCTAACTATTTACTGACGTGATTAAATGCTAAGCTGGATGAAACACAGCTTAGAAATCCCAAATATATACTTTGCAGTCACTCGTTGTACTCAAACAGCAGCGAGAAAAAAAAAGAACAAACAATAAAAGCACAGCCATCAGACCATGTTGGAGTATAAAAAAATGTTCACTTAAGGCGGTTACATCACTGATAAAGCTCTCCGTGTTTTTTGAAAGTCCTTTCTATTAAATATACAACAAGAAAGAATTAGTATTGCACGTCTGCAGCATGCAACAAGCAGTTCTGTACAAGCCCTGTGTCGTGCTTCTTTGCCAACTTAAGGTATAATGGCACATAGATCTATTGCTGCACTAAAAATAAATAATTCATGTTAACTAAAAGGACGCCAGTGAATGAAACAGGCCCATAAATACTGTAGATAGAGACTTTGTTCAGTTACGGAGGTGTTTGCTGCTCTTAAGCCCATAAGATGCCGCTCAGTCCTGACTTCACGGGTTGATCCAGTCTGGTTAATGCCAGCAGCATTTACTGTCACTTAAATGGGAAATGTTGTCAGTGTAGTCAGAGTGTTGTCAATGGAAGAAAGCTTGGTATTTAGCTCACTTATTGCCTCATTAGCCATCTGCTCTGGACACTTTCTGCTCCAAAGCTGCAAAAGTCACAGAGGCTAAGGCAGCCAAGTTATTTATGCTGGTATTTCTCTGACAGTCTGATCAGAAAGATGGAGTACTTCAGAGGGGAGAAGAGTGGTGTTATAGGGAAAGTCTCGAAAGGGGGCTGATTGCACAAAGATTTGACTGTGGCTCAGAACTACGAGTCCAACATCCTCTAATAGACGGTTAAGTTCTGCAGTTGTTCAAAGCTTTTTCTTGACAATCTCGGACAGAAACACGTCAGACTGCGTGAACTAAGGGGAATATTTGGACACTAAAGAGACAGATGTTTGTCTCAGGACATGGTTGAAACCAAAACAGATCTAAAAAAAGAGTTAACAATTTAAAAAAAAAGGTTTCCAGAAAACAGGCTCACGTTGCTCTTCGTATGCCAAGGTCAGAACCATACAAGGACAGTATGCCCCCCCCCCCCATTTTGTTGCCGTCAAAATGGTAATTGTTTTCATTGATAAAATTCTACCAGAATAGGCAACAGATCTTTAGGGCGCCCCCTAGGGGTGTCTGGACCCCAGGTTGAGATCCAATGCTCCATAACATTGCTTCTTATTAATATAGACAGATATCTGCATATGAATGCAGAACCTGCAGACAATGAACAGATATTTGGGTTGAAAGAGTTGTTATAAATGTTTATTACAAGGCTGGTTTGAATACTTGATTCTGATTGGCCAATTTGCTAGCTAAGCAGCACACAATCTGGCCGCTAATATTTTGATGGCGGACTGAAGTTTTATTTCATTACATCAGAAATTATCAAAAATTTGGAATCTTTGGTGTTATTCTCTAATAGTGTGTGTAATGGGCACTGGACAGTCGGTATTAATATTTGTGATCTTGATTATCAGTGGATCTCAAAGTTATGTTTCCTGCCCCCTCAAGATAGAACCATGCCCCCTTTGCACCTGACCACACCTCATTCTAGGACAAACACACCCCTGAATGCTCACTGTAGCGCAAGTTCATTTGTGCTGGCAAACAATAGAGCCCTACAACTTGTGCAACCAGCCCCAAGAGGTCATTTAATATGACTGTGGGGGATCCGAGCTTGTGATATGACTGTGAAGGAAAAGGAAGCTGCATATGTGGCCCAGTCCAGCGCTGACCTCTGAGTCAGTTTGAGATATTCAGCCAGGCGTCTCTGATATTCCAGTTGAGGCTGAACCACACAGGCTCAGCAGTACACACACCAGTAGATCAGGTTAAACAGGATGTAGGATCCAGGGAAGATCATGCGAGAGTAAGTGTCGATAGCATGGGTGTTCTGGATGATCCTGAAGCCACGGATCCCCTTCTTCTGCTTGTTCCCTGTGGGCTCATTGTCCAGGGAGAGATGCACCACCATCCGCTCCTGTTTTTCTGAAGCATCCTCTGCTGCCATGGAGGCCCTCGTGTACCCGGCCAGGCTGTTTGCGTCTGCCTCGCTGTACGTCCCGTCCAGCATCATGGTCCTGGCGTGGGACATGCCGCAGGTGCAGGGGAGTGTCTGCGACTGGAAAAGAAGGTAGTAAAGAATGGAAGGTTGATTACAGAGTTGAAAACAGTATTTGGAGACACATGCTCTTTCTGAAATGGTCAATGTACCTGCTCCCTGGCTTTTTCTCTGAGCCTGCGGTCTTTTCCGTCTCTCATGGTTGTCAGGTAGTTGACGGCAGCGTATTCAAGCACAGACAGGAAGACAAAGACGAAACTGACCCACAGGTATATGTCCACAGCTTTGATGTAGGAGACTCTGGGCATGGAGGCGTTCACTCCAGTGATGATGGTGGACATGGTGAGCACCGTGGTTATACCTGAAGCACAGAGAACAGACTCAGATTCCTGCGTAATTCGGTGAATATTCCTAATGACATCATCTCTGAGATCTCAGAGTTCAGTACACAAAAGACTCCTGAACTTGTAGAACAAAATAACTAGAAACTTGATGAACTGCTAGCTTTTTCAAGAGTGGTTAAGAAACTGTTCAACAACTGCCAAGGCTATGCTAACCAAATCCTGACTCTGCCTCTATTGACTACTTAGCTAGCTATCAAAAATTATTGAAATGTCCCAAAATGTTGGGCTGTCTGTTTCATTCTCTCCGAGGGCACACTCAAACTAGGCAAAGTTGTCAAGTACAGTGCTTGAGCACTATTGTCCCCTCTCCCCATTCCCCAGCTGGCCTGCACTCACACTGCTCCAGGACTAACTGGGCCTGAGCATGGTTACCTCTTGTAGCTACATTACGTCGTAGAACAACCATGCATGGCTTCATGTTATTTTTGAAGTGTGTTCAGTTTACAAGACAGGTGGACTCCAGAAAAAAAAGAAAAGAAAAAGAAAAACGGAAGCGCAGTCGAGTACACGTCCGAACATTGGAGAACAACACAGAGAACATGACCGCTACTTTACTGACTTTGTGGCTTATTTTGAGAAATTTTAGTCAGATACAGCCAGGACACTCCATGATGGGGATTTCTCCATGATGTAGGCTGTCCACGTTGTGTGCCCATGCTTGTGCATGAACTTATTTGCACAGATCGAAGCGCTCATACTAGTCAACCGAACTGGACTTTAGGGGTAAAATGTGCTTATGCACAGTAAGGATTTGCTAGTGTCAGTGCGCCCTCACACTAAGCCCATATATCCTTTAACATGCCCCAACATGATTGTCCCCACCCTTCCCATTCCCCCGCTGGCCTGCACTCAAATTTTCCTAGGCCCAACCAGGCCTGAGCACAGTTACCTCTTGTAAGTACATCATCACGTCATAATAAGACAAAGGCACAGCTTTACATCATCATAAAGCATCTTTAGTTTAAGAAAAGTGCGGTCTCAGAGTCAGCACATTTGAGAACAACACAAAACATGACTTCAGCTTTACTGACTGTGTGGCTTATTTTGAGTCATTTTAATCTAATACTCCCCGATTTTCTTGTTTATGCAAGGCGGTGTTTATACATCTGCCTGTGCAGAGTATTACTATTATCTGTTGTCTGTACTTCGCTATGTTTATGTTTTTTATTTACCAGCTGCTCCAAACCATTGCCCCATGCAAGGCGGATTAATAAAGTTGTTTGAATTGAATTGAGCCACTGCACCGTGCCAAAGCACACCTCTTCCACCCATGTCAGGACCAAGGAAGTCTTCCATCCTTGAGCAAAGTACAGATCTCTCACACTAGTCAGCAGACTGGACTTCAGGGGTCAGGCGTGCTTGGTTCACGGTACAGATTGCCTAGTGTAACAGCCCCTTCAGTGTCTTTTTGTGCTAACTGGTTCTGCTTTAAATACACATCATATATTGACAGGTAGCGTTTTTATTGTGTAACTATGAGTTCAAGTTCTGACCTAATGAGACTCTGGCAGGGACGGCCCTGCGGTCGATCCAGAAGGACACCCAGGACAACATGACCATCAGCGTGGCGGGGAAGTAGGTCTGCAGCAGGAAGAAGAAGATGTGACGCCGCAGGGTGAAGTTGATGTACAGACGGTTGTACCAGCCTGGAGACAGAGAAGAAATGTTCAGCCTGTGTTTGCAAAATTGTTTTACAGTACACGTGGGAAATAAAACAGAGGGATTACGAGCTGAGATGACACAGAACCAGGTAAAGTTATCAATTTATCTGAGCAGGAATGACAGAAATCTGGAGGGCATTTTAAACATAACAAAGCAAACAGTGAGGCAGTTAATGACAGAAGAATAATGTGAGGGAAAGTATTAAAAAAGCCCAAAAGGAGTGTTTTTCATATCATTATTCTAGTTTCAATGACGGACACATTTCTCAGAGGAACACCTTTTCTCCAGGTACAGTTCTAATCGAATTATCTAAGTGAAAGTACCCACGGCGTCCTTGAGTGGCATTGTCAGAGTGCTCAAGCATTGTGTTTAAAACTAGGACAGTGCTTCTGCAAAGACGAGCTGCTTCTGATGTCAGATTATTGTTCTTTTTAAAAGCCTTTAAACCGTGTTATGTTGTGATAAGGTTAAGGTTGTCACTGCTTTGAAATCCCCTCTATAATGGCGCCATTTTGTTTTGTAATTATCAACATGTAGGTTTTTCTTTTAAGATTTTTTTGGGGCTTTTTGTGCCTTTAATGGAGAGCTAGGACAGTGGATAGAGTTGGAAATCAGGGAGAGAGAGTGGGGAATGACATGCGGGAAAGGAGCCACAGGTGGGATTTGAACCTCGGCCGCCCGCTTGGAGGACCACAGCCTCCCTGCATGGGGGCGCACGCGCTAGCCACTGCGCCACCAGCGCCCCAACATGTAGGTTTAAATGTTTGTACCAACTCATTTGCTGATGAGTCAAATAAAAGTAATGAAGTTTAGGGAAATGTCTGATGGATTTCTGTTTAATAATTATTCCAAATACAAATGGTGGAAGGATGAACCATCAAAACTGCTCTTTGAGTCCTATGTCATAACCCATCCCTTCACTGAAAGTATTTCAGCTGGTGTCATCACTAAAACGTTTGCAGTCTCTACTTCTCAGTTGATTTATTCCTTCAGTAAATATTTTCCTAATCAGTTTATGGTCTCAATCTCTAGTTTGAAGTCTTCTTCATTACAGTGTGATGTTCCTTTTGTTCATTATGCTCCTATTTAGAGTCCAATAGTCAATAAAGTAGGGTTTGTTACAGGGTGGGCTACCTATGATTGACAAGACGCTATAATGGAAACTTGAAAAGTGTCTAAAACCTGTTAGTATGGAAGTAGTTTTACCTTCTGATGATTTGTAATAAGTGCAGAGGTTGTGTTTTTTATACCATGCAAATAGATTTCTATGATTTATAAAAGTGATGATTCCATGTTTCAGCACACACAGAGGTCCTTTGATAATAGATATCCAGTCCGAATTGTCTCAGTAATCTAGGGCGGTCTGTTTTTTTTTTACTGGTCGAGAATGATGGAGGTTTTGATGGATACTGTTAACAAGTTTTGACAGTTTTTTAAAAGCATATTCTGTTGGTTGGTTTGAATAAACAGGAAGAGCAAACAGATTTCCATCCGAAGAACCAGATTCTGAAGAGTGATGACAGAAAGATTTTCTATCTTTCAACAGGCTCAAATTAAAGGTCACATATTTTGCAAAATACACTTCACCATGTTTTCCTAAAACTAATATGTGTCTCTAGTCTGTCTACAAACCCCCCAATTATGAGAAAAGTCCATCCTCTCTGTCTTTTGCCTGCTCCACTTTTCAAATAATGTGTGCTCAAACAGGCCGTTTGGAGATTTTCCCTTCATGACATCACAAAGGGCAGTAGCCCCTCCCCTGGTGGGTGACACTCCCACAGCTAGGTGTTTGTTCTGCCCTCTGAGTCTGCCTTCTCACTGTAAACAATAGGACATGGAGCAAAAAAGCCTGAGCCACATCCACTTCCAGAGAGGGGGCGTGGTCAGACACAGCTCATTTACATTTAAAGGTACAGACACAGAAACAGCCTGTTCAGAGCAGGGCTGAAATAGAGGGGTTTATAGACATGATCAAATACAGGATCAGAGTGGATTTAGAACAAGGAACTTCACACACATGTTTTAATGAGCTCTGAGACTTATTTAAAATGGTATAAAAGGAGGATACATGTGACTTTTAAAGCCTATATAGTCCTACTTTCCAATCAATTTCACTAGATATTGACAATAGAGCAGAAAAAGCCACTCAATGCAATCTGCTCTATTGCATTGTTATTTATGTAGTTTATATGACCTAAAGTCAGCCATCTTGTCTCAGCCTAAACTTAACTAAAAGGTTATTGTAGTTGGCTGTATTCGCTGTCATGTAAACGTGGCCTATAATTTCGGTCAACCAAGTATCAGCCAAAAAAGGGGAGCTGACAACATGCCTGCATTCAGACCATCAGAGTGTTTAGCACCAGGCTGTAAACCTGCGTATTCCTGCAGCGAAAAACAATATTTTAAACAGGACGTCCAGAGGAACTGCAGTGTTTTTCTCTTTCACATTGGCCTAATTGTTCAACACCGGAAGTTGCTGCTTGGGTAATACTAATGCATTATTATGCTTTATTCTGCATGTGGGTTGTGCTAAAACACACCTTGAGGTGTCTGCTGTTTACGGAAGAGGATTAGGGCCACTGGAAAAAAACATTTTTGGTTCTGACTTTTTTTTTCTTCGTTCTGACTTTAATCTCAGAATTCTGATTTTTTTTTCTGGATTCTGAGATTAAAGTCAGAATCCTAAAAAAAAAGTCAGAACCAAAAAAACTTTTTTCAGTGGCCCAATCCTCTTCCGTAGCTGTTCATCTTTCCGTGCAGCACATTTGGTTTTAAGGCTCCTCTTCTCTTCAAGGCAGATATTTTCTTCACAGTGAATTTCGGATGCTTCCCCCTCGCTCCTTCCCACATTGCCAACATTTGTCATTTTAAGCTCTAAAATAAAAACAAGACTATGGCCAAAAAAAAGCCAAACTCAAGGCTCAAAATCCACAAACAAATGGTTGAAGTTACGATGGCTATGTCTGCTGATAGAGTCTATGATCAGTATTCACTCTATTCTTCCATCCTTAGAAACCTGCTTTCTAATATATTATTTCTCTCTCTCAAAAATCGTCTTTCCATTAGAGCACATGTGAGGCATTTCCTTTGTGCATTAAATATGTTATGTAAATGAACTTTCCTTGACAGCCTTGCCTCGCGGCTCTTTGACTTTCCTTATAGAGGTTCAACTCTGCAGAAGTGATTACTTCTGACTCTGCAAAACGAGGGTCTGAATTACCCCTCAGCTCGCCTCGGGGCAGAGAGTCCCTGCTGATCACCCCCAATTTTCTTTAACTTGGGCGGCTTAAACATGGATTTGTTGAAGAATATGCAAAATATTAGCATAATGTCAACTTTAATATAGATGGTATTAAAAGTAGATTTTGACACAAGGTTTCTGATCACTAAATCAAAGCAGTATGACCTGACTGCCACAGAGTGAATCTGGGGTCTCCGATCGCTCTCGAATGCACTCGCCCAACATGACCAGTGAGTGATCAGTACTCGTATGAAGTCAATATAAAACCTGTGTATCTACCTGTGCTGCTGTAGAAAGCCAGCCTGGAGGTGGTGTGAAACTTCTGGATGAGAAACTGAGACAGAGAAATCCTGTCGTCCGTGCTCAGAGACTCATCGCCGCTCTTCCAGTAAAGCATCAGGTCTTCATCGGTGTAAGCATCTGCAGGACAGAGAGCATACATGTAAGAAAAGAGACGCACTGTGTGTAGTATCAGCTGCAGAAGTTTGATTTTTTTCTGACTCACGCACAAGCAGAAGGTACAGAAAAATTAACTCATAGCAACCTTGAATGCTAACCAAATAGATAATAGCCAATAAAGGTCGGCTTAAAAACAGAATCATGTCATGTTTATTATGACCTGCAGCTGCCCTCTTGGACAGGAGTGAAAGAGATCGTGATCTCAAAGGGTTAATTACCTGGTTAAATAAAGGTTAAAATTAAAAAATCTAATAAGTGAGTGTTACCATACTCAGTAGCTTTTTTTTTTTAACTCACTTTTCATTAATTTGCTATTTTCAAAATGTTTTTTTAACCCCCAAAATATCTCATGCAATCCAAAAGAAATGTCTGCATGTAATGACAGTGGATCAGTGGCTTGAAAGGCAATGTGCACATTTTTAAATCTTTCAGGAGTCCCTCGGAGGGGTTCTCATTGGCAGCATCTCCACAGCAAATATTGATTCACTGACGAGTGATGTGAACGGGTAATAAATGAGTGCAAACATTTCTGATAAACATTGAAGTCAAAGATCAATATTTTAAAATGCTGGAGTGGGTAATTAACATGAACATCCAGAGTGTCTCTCTCTCACTGAAAACAGTACTAAAACAGTAAATAATTAAGCCATATCTCAGAAGAGGGAGCAAAGTATTAAATATCAGCACTGCTGTGATTCGGTTATAAGCACGACGCTGCTGACTGAGTGCCAAAGTTAATCTCAGTACTGCTGATATTCAGAACTTCATGACCTGAAGTGTGATGAAGTTTTTAGACTAAAGTTTCACAAGCAGCAACAAGAAGTGAAGCGCCTGTAACTAAAGACAGTGCTTTTTCCTCTGGCAGCGAATCAATACAAACCCAATGCATACATAGTTCGGTGTCTCTAAAGTCTGAATTCATCACAATAAATAAAGAATGATTATAGTGAAAGAAGAAAGGATCTCTCACTCAATATGTGCAGTGTTGACCTGTTTGATGGAGACCCAGGAGTATCGGCCAGGACACTTCAACAACATGTTGAAGATAGCTCAAGCTAACTATCAGCTACCCTCAGATTGATTGGTGAAGATTTAGTGTTCAAAATAGAAAAAACCTTTGCACATGCATATTATAAGACAGGTGCGTAGCAATGTGTCCATCAAAAACTGAAAGGTGAACTCCCGCACACTGTCTAACTAATCTAATTTATTGGCGACATTTCGGTAGTATACCTCATCATTCGCCTGATGAAGGTCTAGTACCAAAACGTCTCCAATAAATGTTTGTTTGCAAGTTTTCAGTTGAATGTGTTTTAAATATTTGTTAGTTTAGTTGTTTTATTAGTTTTATTCGTCTCTGTATTGTAAAATATTCAGAGAATGATATCAAGCAAAAAAAAGTATAATTAAAGAAAGTATAAGAAAGGAAAACAGTTCTGCAGTCATCAGCTTCTTTCAACATAAACTGACGTGCCTGAGACAGATTGTAAGGAAAGGTTGTGTGCTTGTAACATTTTCTCTTTAATGTTATTTCATTTTAGTTAGTTATCTTCTTATAGCCTGGTTTTTATTATGGTTTCAGTTACTGAAAATGTTTTTTTACATTTTGGTTTTCGTTAGTTTTAGTTAACGGTGATATAATAACCTTGATGCAGAACTGTAATCTATAAGTGACAACAGAAACGTGCTAATTCAGTTTCTCTGTGAAAGTATCTTCATGCATTTCTGTTGATTGAATTAAAATTTAATAAAATATAAATTTTGCACGTGTTAACAAACAGATTTCTTGTGTTTTTTAAACCCTGTTGTTTTGAGCTCTCGGGGCCACCGTAACAATCAGTGTTTATAATCGGCAAGTTGCTAATTGAGATAACGCTCCACAAAAACACTTGAGGGCTTTAATAATGAGGAGCTCATTATCTTCACTGTCTCCTCAGCGCTACAGTAAAGTGTGTGTGGGACACACAAACACTCACAGCTCTCCAGCTCCAGCGTGCACGTCTGCGAGTCCAACGGGAATCGACTGAAATCCATGTTGCACGCGGCGGTGACTGTAACCCTGACGGATTAAAAAACAAGAGTGTGAATGTCACCAGTGAGGGCAGATATCTATGCATGTGTTTGTGTGTGAGGTGGGGGCTTCATGTCTCACCTCAGGCTGTACAGGACGTGACCATCAGGAAACACCCGCAGCATGATGTTGTCGGTCGTGGTGTCGTGGATGAACGACCTCTTGGAGTGGACGAAGAAGACGTCGGGCACCCAGATCTTCTTCACCAGGCGTCCGTCAAACGTCATGCTCTTGTTGGTGGTACTGGGGAAGGCGAGGCGCTCGTCCTTCCAGTAGTGCCTCAGATACAGGGTCATGGTGAAGTCCTGAAGGGGGGTGGGTTAGATATGGAGACAGCATCTGGATTTAGTCTCACAGTGAGGACTCCTGAGCTCTGGTGTGATTACACGGCTGCAGATCCTGGATTATATGGATTCTTTATGACTTAATATACACAGCGGAGAGAGCTGAACATATGTTAACTAAGCACAGCACCCATTAGTCCTAGATTACCCCTGTCTGCTTGCCCCCCTTTCCTCCTGTTTCCATGCAGGGAGGAGCGGGCCTGCAGACTCACATCCCCTCCTCTCCCCACTTATATAAGAGCAGATCAGTTAAGAATAATGGCTGAATCAACACATCACACTCTTGGCACCGATCATTAAAGAGGCTTTTATGGGTGGAAGACGAGTTCAGGGGCACGCCTGAGTGTCTGCAGGGAATAACAGCTGTAATGTGCTGTTAGTTTACTAATGAGAGGTGTTACCCTGGGCTGTTAACTCTTGCTTTCACTTTTTTTTTTTGTGCCTTTATTGTAGAGATAGGACAGTGGATAGAGTTGGAAATCAGGGAGAGAGAGAGAGAGTAGGGAATGACATGCGCGAAAGGATCCACAGGTGGGATTCGAACCTGGGCTGCCCACCTGGAGTACTATAGCCTCCATACATGGCGTGCGCACTACCCACTGTGCCACCAGCGCCCTGTCATTTACTCTCAAATGTGTTATAATTTGTTTAAGGCTGGCTACACACTTTACATTCTAGGGACGAGTATGGACCGAATTTGAGGCTTGGTGCAATCGATTATTCATCCAAATGATTGTCAAGTGTCAAAACTATTTCATTGACTGCCCTCGACTGATTCAGAGCCTCTCCATCTCAATTCAAACCAATTCCAGAACGTGCTGCCTCCGACAGAATATCTGTAGTAGCCAATGAGAGGGAGCAGACCAGGAGGTGTCACCAACTGGATGTTGCTTACTTTTAAAACTCATCTGCAAAATGTATAAGCCGCGCCCATACCGTCTTCTCAGCAAGGATTTCACCCGAATTCTTTTCTTGTTTTTTATGTTTTTAGAATGCAAAAGAGAATGCACGCCAACACAGCCAGCTGACGACATTGATCGTACTCCATATTTGTTTTCCATGGGAAGTCATGTTTGGAAGATTTTCTATGAGCTCTTGTGTCTGTGAAATCATTACTACAAACTGCAGGTGTGTGATCTTGCGGTCTGGCTGATTCACCCAGTGTGTTCATTTAAAATCGATTGGAACTATTCTAATGCCTGTGGTCTCCCAAGTTTTTTTTAAAATTGGTTAAGATTTGAAAATCATCTAGTGTGTATCCAGAAATCAGCCAGCAAACATTGAGAAATTGATTATTAAAGTCCTATAGAAGGTTGCACCAGGTCTGAATAAGTTCAAATGTAGCCTAGATGAACATGAATTCTAATTCAGGATGGAGTTTACCAACTTGTGTTTTGATAATGTGTTGAACTTCTGTGATAGCAGCCAACAGCCGAAGCTCGTCGGGGCAGTAGACATTAGTAACAGTGGGCTTCATCAATCAGAGACATCACTGTGACACTCAAGGTTTAAGAGTAGAGTCATTCTTTTCCCCGAGATCACGAATCAACCATGTTTATCTGAAAACGAGGTCATATCATTTACATACTTGTGTCTTTTACAGGAGCAAACATGGCTAAATATCAAATCCGCTATTGAGAAAACAAATGGGATTTTTACTTCAGGAACCACTCTGTTGAGCTCTATTAGGCACAAGAGAAAACACTGGAATGAACACAAAAGGTCAGATCAGGACAGTATTTGTTTAGTTTGGAAGTTACAGTCTACTAGTTAAGATGAACCTTCCGTCTCCACGGTAACCCAATAGTGACTCTACTTAAGTTACAAACTAGTTTACAGCTTAGGCTTATTGTGGTACACTAGAACTTAAGGCAGATGTTATACAGAGGAGCTGAAATCTGAATGTCTTGTGTGGCCATTAAAAGTTTAAGAGCAGTTGTAACAATTATTGTTAATGACAATTAAACATTCAATTTATTAGCAGCAAAATGCACCTTTGATGAAGTTAATGCACGCTCATTTAAAGAGCTTCATTTAGCATCTGATGAGCTAATTTGAGGAAAGAGTTTAGATGGAAATAGCTGAGTGGATGACATTACAGTAAGTTTTCTGTCCTTATGACTGCATCCAATTATCAGATTCACAGAATTTGGATTTCTGTTTTCTGGCAGTTTTTGTGCTCGGAGGGCTGTTTTAACCCCAAATCCACCCAGTCCATGAGGAGCACCATGCAGACTTTCTGCAGACTTACAAAGGACCCTGGTTGGGGTGTAGACTGCACAAGAGTTTACTGTTTATTACCCATTACCTCATTACAACACTGAGTGTTTCTATTTGGAGACAAAAAAAGCTTTTAATGAACATGTGAAACAAAAACTTTAAAGGACCAATGTGGAACCCTCACACATAGGGTTTAAAATGTGTACTGCAGTCCTAATCCAAAACATTGGAGAGAGCTGTCTGCCCCCTTCTCCCCATACTCTATAGTCTATGCTCACGCAGGTTGCCATGTCACGGACACTGAAGCTTCAGTGTTTAACCAGCTCTGCATCAGTCTGTAAACCTTTCTGTGTTCTAACCTCTCTCCATTTTTCAAAAGCATCGCCAATATTGATCCTAGTTTGAGCACGTTTCTGTTCGTGGAGCTTATTAGAAACATGCAGAGGCTTTTTAGGTCGGGTACAATCACTAATATCTCAAACAGGTCTCTTTCCCGCTTCCATCGCTTCAACACCTGTTGGCTTGTCTTGTGGGGGTGTCTTATAACCACCTACTGCTCTGGTCCAAACAAATCCAGAGCATTCAGGACCAGAATCTAAAGTTAGAAGGAGGACATACTGGCTGCTGCATTGTTGTCAGAGAAGCCAGCACTTCAACATAGCATGTTTCCTTAATTTCTGATGGTAAGGTCATTTTATCATTTAATTCAGTAGATAGCTTACAGATTGGATCCTCTTTAAACATGTCAATCTGTCAATTATGAACTTGAATCATGTGAGCAATTCAACATGAAAGGTAGCAACACTGCAGCAGTGTGAATCTTCCTTTAAATGTCGCATATTCTCCTTTTCAACACGTCTGTGAGTTTTTTTTGTCATGAATCCACTCTGATCCTGTATTTGATCACGTCTGTAAACCCCTCTATTTCAGCCCTGCCCAGAACAGGCTGTTTCTGTGTGTGTACCTTTAAATATGTAAATGAGCTGTGTCTGACCACGCCCCCACTCTGGAAGGGCTTGGGTGTCTCTGGCTTTCTTTCAACATGCCCTATTATTTAAGGCAAGAAGGCAGACTCAGAGGGCAGAACAAACACCTAGCTGTGGGAGTGTCACCCACCTGGGGGAGGGGTTACTGCCCTTTGTGATGTCATGAAGGGAAAATCGCCAAACGGCCTGGCAAAAGGCAAAAGACGGAGAGGATGGACTTCACTCATAATTGGACATTTTGTAGACAGACTAGGGACACACATTAGTGTTAGAAGAAAGAAAGTGTATTTTGCATAATATGTGACCTTTAAATAACCATATCATTTAAAGATTATAACTAATAAGCTGTTTATTTAAAGATGACTCAGCACTTTTCAGCCTCTGTTTCCAAGTTGGCAGTATAAGTACTGTGATACTTTTATTTTCAAAGTTTTCTTTGACGTGTAATATATTTGAAAATTATTATCTTCATGGTTGTTTGGACTTTCATTTTTCAAAGAGCTCTGTTAAAGGTAGAAAATAAACATCATGCTTTAGTGGAATTGAGTCAATTAAAGTTACATAACACAACAGTATGTCTCTGACGTTTCTGTTGCAATATACTGTAAGGATAAACTGCTCGTGAGAGTTTATGGTAAAGTTCAGTTAAGGTGAGCTCACTCTGCCCTCCCCGACATGAGTGGATGTTGACCACTAGTCACAAAAAAACGTTTTTAGTCTAATTGTACATCTTCAGCAGGAGTCAAAGGTCACTCAAGAGTATCAACATCACAGCATTTTGATACATTTTTAATTTTGGGTAACATAGTCATCTGTTCTGCCACTTGTTTATTTCGTATTTAAAGTACTGGAGAATCTTTTGTTTTTCTATTTGTATGTTTATTTAAATCTCATTTTGAATAAAAGAGGGAGAGAGTCAGAGGTCTGGTCATGGTCAGGTCAGACAGGGACGCCTGAGGCTGGAGTTTTGTGCACAACACAAGAGCAAAGTTGAAGTTCTGCTGTTTGGTCAAGGCCGAGGGTTGTTTTGTCGGCCGTTTTGGCCAAATAAACAGGTGAGTTCAGGTTTTATCCCTGAGGGGAAATGTTACAAACTGCACACAGATGAAGGTCTCAGCTGAGATCTGAACCCCCTGTCGCCCATTCTGACACAATTTACTTTCAGACATGTATTCAGAAATACTTTGATTTCAGTGCTCTAAAGTGTGGAGTTTTCTTGATGAGAAAATCTTTTGAGACCTTGATCTGGATGAGTTGTTGGTTGGTGAGTGGACGTGCAACACACACCGAGGCATATTTGGGATTTTGATCTTTTCCCAAAACTGCTTCCTTGTCCTTGAAAACCTTGTATTTGCATAATCTGCCATCTCTAAATGATACAGTCGAAGATAATTTGCTGTGTCACTGTCGAGCATGGTGCAGCTTTGTGATGTGACATAATGTCATTAAGAGGAGCCGTGGTCTGACATCATTATTTATTTCACCGCTCTCTGTTCAAAAACAATTAAATGCACGACGCTGAGATCCAAATTAAGATTAATCCTCGCTCGTCCTTCAAACGGGAGCTTACACGACATCAGGACGACAGTTTTTTGGATCCAATTTTTGCTTCCAGACCAGAAGGTTGATTTAATTACATTACTCAACATGCATCAGTCTGACTTTGAACACATAAAAAACATCCCGTCAATGAGTTTTTATAGCCAGACGCTGGTTATCCAACTGAAAACAACAGCTTCATTACAACAACTAAAAGAATGTGTTCATCTGTCCTTTCCAAATACAGAACCCCTCTGATAACAGAGCTTCACATCACTACTATCTAACAAGGAGGACTATTTTACATTTATATATTTACGCGTTGTGATCTGGTCGGTCTAATTATTAACATGATTGGACAAGTCACTTCTAAACAAAGTTTTTTTTTCAATGTGGAGCTCATGTGTGTTCACATGCTGTTAGTGGTGTTTTAAAACCTAGAGCCTTTTTTATTTTTTAGTGATAAAAAGGTACAAAAGTTTTGGAGTTACGCCAGCATTGCTCGCTCCTGCAGCAGTGAAACAGGAAGTAATGGTTGCATCATAATCCTCCTGCAAAATGTTCAAAGTCCTTGATTTGTCCCTGACAGGCTCAGATTGTTATTCTAAGTGTCTGACAACATTACAGAAAGAATCCCCACAGAGATGGACCTTTTTGTTAAAAAGGAAGATCTATCCATCCATTTTCTATACCGCTTTTCTTGCTTACCCGGGTCGTGGGGGGGCTGGAGCCGATGCCAGCTGTCATCGGGCGAGAGGCACCCTGGACTGTTTGCCAGTCAAGCAGGGTTGACATATAGAGACAGACAACCAGCAACATGTTAACTCCACACAGAGAGGCATTCTTTGACAAGGATTCGAACCAGGAACCTCCAAGCTGTGAGGCAACAGCGCTAACCACTGTGTTGTTAGGTGTTTCATAAATATTGTGATGGATCTGAATGTGTTACTTCAAATGGAAAACAGGTGGAGAACCAGGAACATCCTCAGTGGGCCGGTCTGATTGTAGGGCAGCGATGGCCAAGTGTACAGTCAGTGATGGTAAATAGATCATCAGGCTGCACTCGCTAGGGATGGGTACCAGTTAGAGATGAGCCCGAATCTGAATCTGAATTCTGAAAGGCACAATGAGATGCAAAGACGCCTGAATGGACTACTGAGGTCACTGCTGCTTCAAACAACACTGCAGCAACACAAACCCTGCGGCCAACATCAGTGGTTTTGGAGGAGACCTTGTCAGACTTCAGGTTGGTGGGACAACTTTGAAAAATGAAATGGTCAAACCTCTGGACCCCTATGGATTAGGCTGGGCTTGCACTTTAACTCTAGAGCACCTGGACGCATCAATGCTCATGTGCACTGAGACAGGCTGAGATTGCATAAAACTGTTAATGTTCTCTTTATTGTTCAAATAAATAATAGTTGTGACCTTAGGGTATGTGCTTGAAGGTATGTGCTTGAATTGGAAATGTGATTTCTGATCAAATGCAATATGAATAACAAGGTCGTAGAAAATAGTTCACTGATTCAGACTTCTATACTAGAAAGGCTAAAACGATATATCTCCTGTAAAAGGTTGTGAAGTAAAGCGGGCTGGTCTGAGCCATGAAACTCAGGCTGAAAAGAAGTCAAACTCCAGCCCTGAATGAAAATGACATAAAACAGATATAATGTAACCAGTTGCTGCAGTGATATATCAGTAATGTTACCTGCAGTTAAAAAAATCATCTTTCATTACAAGAACTTGTATTTATAAGGTAAATTCACTGTTTTGTAAAAAGAATCTGGTACGTTTAAGGCAAGCGATGCATAGAACTTTCTGGTTAAAAGAAGTCTAGAAGTCTAGTGCTATATAAGTTCAAGTCCACTTACCAATCTGAGCCTGTCAGGGACAAAAACAACAACTTTTAGAGGGTGTTATCATAGTTAATTGGGCACATTTACCACAAAGCATTAGTATTCAGCCATTACAGTTTCACAGCTGCTGCAAGATGCAATCTACTGGATCAATTCCAAAACTTTAGATCATTTAAGTAATTTGAACCTAAAATATGTAAAAACAGGGTTTAAATTTAAAAAAAGCAAAATTATCCTTTAATGAAGATAGAGTTTTAGGATCATTAGCTGCCTTGTCTCAGCTTAATCTCCATGTGTTGAAGCAGTCTGAGTTTATTTGTTAAAGCCAGCAGCCTTGGACTCAATCTGTCACAGATTTACTGGTCAAATTCAGCACCAGTAACATAATCCAGTGGAACAGTAGTGTTAATAACGACATGATATTTCTTGTCCTTCTCTAATCTCATTCAATTCAGTTTGTGAGTCTGAGATTTCAGATCTTATTGAATATTAAGTTCAATTGATTCCAGTAATCCTCTCTGAATACATCCAAACTAAGTCGACTTTAACGACTTATCAACACTCTGCAGTTATTTCATGTTTAATAGCAGCTCAACCCGATTTACCAGAATATGAAACTTAGATAGGATTCTAGTAAGCTTCAAATCATATGGATACTTGTTTTAATACCACGACAACAATTGCGCCCCCCCCCCACCCCCTCGTTAGGGGGACAAAATCGCCTAAAATTATCTTGTGTGACGCCAGCCTTTGACCATGCTCGTTCACTTTCATTTGCAGCACTTTTCAGTTAAAAATAGGACTGAAGGTCTGAAGTTTTTTATAGCTATGGTACCTTTAAGGGAGATTGTTTTGTTTTGGCATCAAAAAGTTCTAAAGCATTGAGCATTTTGACAACTTAATAACAATCATACTTCAGATACTGCAGTGTGTCATTGAGGCCACTCACCATGTCCACCTCTGATATGCTGTCCAAACTCTCCACCTGCACGTCCACTCCCACAGGAACAGCTGGACCTGCAGACCAATAGCAAACAGATGTTAGTTTGCATTCATGTGTGTCACAAAGAAACAGCTCTATACTCTATACATAAACTGTTTCAGGTTTATTAAAGTCAGCTTGTTCATATATTACGTAGAAGACTTGAAACCAAGACTAAAAGTACATTGAAGAACGATTTAAAGTGCAGTGCTGAAAACACTACTACTGCATATAAATATGAATGCCATAATAACCTGGAAAACCATTTGAACAAATTCACATAATGGTAAATGGTAGATAGACTTGAGCTTGTATAGTTATTTTCTAGTCTTCTGATTACTCAAAGCACTTTAACACCGCAGGTCACACCTACACATTCACACACTGATGGTAGAGGCTGCTGTGTAAAGTCACAATCAGAAGTAACTAATCCATTCATACACATTTATATGCCGCTGATGAAACAGCAGGAGCAACTTGGGGTTAAGTGTCTTGCCAATGACACAGCGGACATGTGGCTGCAGGAGCTGGGGATCGAACCCCCGACCTTCCGATTGAGAGACGACAGACTCTTCTACTGACCCACAGCCGCCCTATAAGCAGGTGTTAAATATAGGGTTATATGTAAGAACTTGATTTTGGAGCATTCTGAAAACCACAGATGACTATCAATGACAGTGTTCTTTAAATAATCACAATCTTTATGTAGTGTACGAACATGACAGCTAGATGATAAAGTGTTAATGCAGCACTTTTCGTGCCACATGTCACATTCACTCTTTTACTCACACTTTCTTACACACTGATGTCAGAGGATGCTGTAATGAATCAGACTGACCAGCAGGATGTAATCTCATCACATTCACACAAACTGAGGCTTTGCATTCAGGAGCAGTTTTGGCTTCAGTATCTTGCCCGAAGACACTTCAGATCAGAACTGAAGGAGCTGTTAGAAATCTGGCTGTGGAGTAAATGGTAGCCTGCAAATCTTTGCTTCTGAAGTAGTTTCTTCAACAAAACACCACCCTGCAGTGAATAGCACTACACCGCAGTTTGAAGATGTTTTCACACATGCTCTGAAGGCTGCCCCTGAAATCTTCCTGAGTTGACAGTTCACATATCTGAATGATTATTCCGACTTCACGTGGAAATTTAGCAGGGAAAATTCCAGGTAAAGGTCATGATGAAAACTTGGCCGTATGCTTTCACATAATGCAGCTTGCCAAAAAAAATTCTGGAATATTTCAGGAGTTTTGTGCATGTGTGAAAAAACACAGAGAGTTTACAAAAATGGCGAAATCATAGTGGTCAATGTGCAAAACTCACTAGAACAGGGGTTCCCAAAGTGGGGATCGCAAGACCATGAGAGGTGGGTCGTGAGACTCCTTCCAAAAACACGTGTAATTTAAGTAAAAATAGATTTAAAAAAGCATATTTTAACCATTATTGTGAACATATATACAAAAAAACTATATCAAGAATTCATTATTTTCTGCTTCTAGCATTTCTTTCAATACATCACTAAAATAACATTTGCCTATTAGTCTGCCTGGCTGTTTTAACCACCTCCATGGACAGTGAGGGTCCCCATGTCTCTAGCACCTTATTTTGGGGCCACATGCCGAAAAGTTTGGGAACCCTTGCACTACTAGAAAATACAGTTAAGGTGATGGGAAGTGATGCTTAAACTGCTTCACATCCTGTTATATCCTTTTTTTTCTCAAGGGAAGAACATTTCCCAACAAAATTAAGATATGCAAATATTTAATTAGATTTAGAATAAAAACAGTTATTGTCCGTATCCCTGTCTTTAATGGTACCATCATACAAATGACAACTTCCTGTACATAATATAATACTGTTTATAATTCAGTCATGTGTGGTGTAGCATTGAGGAGAAGTGATTTAAGGTTCCACTGAATTACGTCCTGGTATCCGTTTCATTAATCCACACACACCCTCTTTGTGTTTGTGTATTAAAGTGACATTGGCGGCTGTAGTATTGTTAATCTGAGCAGCAGGGAGGGTGCCAGCCTTACATAACGGGTGGCATGACAAAGCTGCTACCTGGAACAGAGAGGGAGAGAGGGTATTTTATCGTCCCCGGTCCAGCTGTCGTCAGAGTGTACTCCCTGCTTTTACTCACACCATATGTCCCACATCACGTGCCAGACTCTGTAATCCCTGAGCTCCGAGGATGACATGTTGCCTCACCGGGTTCAACACCGGACACCTGCTGGGAAAAGCACCCGGACCAGCGGGGCTAATGGGGCCGGACGGGTCTGAAGCCAGAGCTAGAACCAGAGCTGGACTGCACTGTGAGGACATATGGATATATAACTGTGTTTCTTTTTAAATGACGATGTACAGACGCCTGTTTTGCGTCAGAGTGAGAATGAAGGGAAGAAGTTTGTGTGTGCTCAAGCAGGACAATTGTGCACACATTAAAAAAAACATGTAGTTTTCCCCTAGAAGATTTCCTGTTTTTCTATTTTAGGCCGACAGCATCAGCGAATTATTCCACTACACTGATTATCAGATGAGGCCCACAAATGCGTCACTGGAATGCTCCACTTCACAATGCTGTTGGTCTTTTGTAGCCCTCAGTATCACATCTGTGTGCTTTAACATCATAATAATAGTTGTTATTTTTTTTTTTTTGTATAGCACATTTCAAAAAGTGGTTACAAAGAGCTTCACAAGAGCAGTGTAACGAGATAAAAGCATTTCAAAAGAGCATTAGGACAATAATAATTTAAAAGAGAGTATAAAATAAGATTTAGATTGTAATACGTTGGGGTTAAACAGCAAGGCTTCAAGCAAAAGTGCACTTGAGAGGTGCAAAATAAAAATGCAGAAAATAAAAATGCTGAATCTGTATAGGCGCTGGACTGGATTTTGGTATCAGAAGAGTTCTGATTTTATTTGGTCAACCACTAGTGTTTCAAAGGGATTTAGCTGCATGCACGAAAACAAAAATTCACTCTAAGCACCTCTCTGGTTTTGAGGCCATCTTTAAGCATCTAACAGCTCTTCTTTTAAGATTGAATCAGCCCTCCTCGTACATTTCTTGATCTTTTAACTCTAACACGGGTTTAAAATCCTTCAGAGCATGCATTTATTTTACTTGATAACAGCCTTTGACTTTGTAATATTTTAAAATGTCACATTAGAGATTCAGGTATATAGTAGTATATAAAAGCAAGACTATTAGGGCTTTCACACTTGCAGGAAACTCCTGAAAAACTCCTGATATTTCCAAGAGGAAGCAAACAGCCACATTTTTCACTCAGACTTCACCCTGGTGTTTATCCTGCTAGAGCCCTAGCGTTTTCTCCGCAGAAAGTCTGAGTGAGCTGATGTGAGAATGCTGCAGGATATTCTCTAGAGAATTAACCTCGAGCAAATGGCAAGGGGAGTGACGTTTCTATACTGTGACTGCTGTGACTGTGACCCCCCTCCTGTCTGACAAGTACAATCTCTCCCTGTGAAGAGCATAATGTGAACAGCCAGGTCAGGAGAATCTCCCGAGCAGTCCTCCTGAAGTTATCTAGATATTTTCAGGAGTGCAGATGTGAAAACAGCTTAATATCATCTTTAAGAAGTGTTAAAGGAGATATGGGGGTTTAGAGTCTTGCCCAAGGACACCTCAACAGGAAATTGGGGATCAAACATCCAATATTCTGGTCGATTCATGACCAACTATACCACTGAGCCAGAGCCGCCTGCAAAACAAAAGAGGGAAAATGCATCGACCACAATGCAGTCTTGGAAACCCATCAGGGGTAATTTTAAAACGATTTAGCTTCATAACTGTATACAAACATATATCTATGTAAACGAGCAGCTATCAATCCATGCTGGGATTTCTTCTTTCAACTACAACAGCATTCTAGACTCTCAGCATGCAAGTCTGAATGTAAACAAAGGCAATGCACCAAAACGGAAGTCATTGCCTGTAGTCTCTAATCGCTTTCCAATGGTCATATTTAAAAACCCACAAAAGTTTGCTGTTGCTTCCATCAGATATAAAGCATCAGATGGCAGCTGATAGGCTCCCAGATTGATGAAGTGAAATTAAAAGAAAACGGAGATGTAGCAGTCATGAAAGTAAAGGCTGGGTGTCCAATGGACCACCAATAAATTTACATCTGTCACCTAAACTTTTGAAATCATGAATATATGAAGCTATTATTAATGCAATTAAATTGTACCAATTGTTTCGCTATGTCAAACTCCGCTCACCAACTCTGTCTCATTTTTTTACCATCCTGTTCCTGCAACAGGTCTCCTACTCACTGAGAGTTTACGTCCCAGTCACTTACTGTACAGATCCTTTCCACTGAGAAACAATCGGAGCCAGAGAATACAGGGCTATTCTGTCAACTTAACTTTCTTGCTTGCAATAGCCCCAAAGGATTGCATTGCAGCCATTAAAGCCATGTTGGTCTGGAGTCTGAAACAACCTACTGGAGTAACTCGAAAACCTTTTGAGCATACACTTCTGCAGAAGTTCAGAAATAACCCTCAAACTTCATTAGTACATTTCCAGAGAGCTATTTATTCATAGTTACTGCTGACATAAGAGAAAAATAAAGCAGCGTGTCGTCTGTGTAAAAAGAGACACAAGAGGTTTTTTTTCAGTGTTTTTTTCCCCACAAACATGAATACACACAACACTGAGTGTTAACATCACAGAGGAGTACACACTGTGAATTTAAACATAAAAAACATCCTGCTTATGAGCACACAAAGCTGCAGAACAGGCACACCAATAATTTCCTAAAGCTCCACAAAACCCCTGCAGCTTTTATTTAAGTCCACGTCTTACTCTTAAAAACAGAATTATTGTCCAAGCAGAAACAAAAGAAACAAAAGCACATAATCCATACACAGCCTGACATAAAAGCAAACATTTTATTAAGCACGTTCAGGGATTTATTCAGCTACTGAATATTTTATCAGGCTAATTATTTGAGTTCCTGTGTTTATGGACTTTAATTTCCCACGCTGCATGAAAGTTTGTAAAGTCTTT